GGTCACCCCGTGGTGCCCTTATAAAACTCAACGTTTAACCTACTCACGCCGGCTTGTGCCCGCCCTCACAGTCGAGCATTTTACGGAATACACCACGCCGCCGTTGACCCTGGCCATTGACCGAGCAACCCAACGTTCCTACCAGCTCCCTTCGCAGGAATGTGTTCTTTTTTAAAAGGCGAGACTATAACTGCTGGGAACATTGTTCAGTGTTTACTTTGACAAAGTTGCCCAATTGCAAAAACACTGTTCAATATGGACAAAAATCAACATTTTACAACGGTGTTGGAATATGGTGGCAAAAATGTATGAATGCTGCCTTTTGTTCTATATTACAAAATATTGACTAAGTAAAACGTGTATAGGTTGCTTTGTTTAATCATTTATTTTAGATAATGGTAATAATTTCCCTCTTTTGGAAAAGTCTCGATAATTAATCCGTTTTTCCATGAGCATTGTTGATCTGCCGTCTATAAAACCACACTTTAAACGCCAGTGTAATTTTAATCCGAAATGTATGTGATTATGGCTTTGTTATCAGATGCAGTGCACACTTGAACTGTAACTTTTGTTTTATTAGTTAGCCTGCCAGAATACATTTATGGAAAAGAATTACAACATTTATGGGAAAAAAAATATTTAGTGTATTCAGTTGAAATAATCAGATCTCGGAAGCTAAGAAGTTTAAAGCCTGGTTCGTACCTCTGTGGGAAATTTCCTTTAAATACGAGGTGATGTAAGCTTGAACTACAAAAAGATGCAATATAACCATGGATTATTGAATCAAACTGTGTGTAGCTTTGAGTATGATCCAAATCCCTTGAATGAAATTGGCCAAACATCCTAATGCCAGACTGCTGATAACTATTCTTGAGGCTCAGCGAAGCTATTCTTGATAAATAAAGGGCATTGTTATGACGACATGAAATAATTTGATGTCAAAATACAATCCAATATATGTAACCTATTGCCCCCAGTGCTCAGTTGAAAACTGGAGGGTGATGCTGTTATCCATCAATAGCTGCGGTATCAATTCCACATTATTATGGCAGGGACCAGTCGATCCAAAACGCATACACGTTTGAGATACAAGTCTAAATTTAGGGTATTACAAATGTCGCCAGATGCAGGTGAGATATATCACAGGTTTACAGGACTTTTTAAATTTGCCCAACTAAAAAGCAATCTAGCACCTCCTCTCTTGTGATTTAAGGAACTCGCACGCACAATCCCACGTCCACAGTATAATGAACCAAGATGTAACGAGTGAAAAATATGTACACCACAAACAACAAATGACAAAGAACAAGCCGATAAGCCTGCACCAAATGTCGACACAATCCCTTAATCCCTGAAGTTTCTTGAAATACAAATAGCGCCACTAAATGACAGACGAAGGCTGCATTTTTGTTGCTGTCAAAGGATGCTTTTGCATAAGCAAAAGCAGTGTCAGTCCCCCTTAAAATAAGTCGCCTGAGGTGGCCTCGTGCTTAAGTGCAAAGAGAGTTGGTTGCCTTGGCCCAATCATGAATTAATGTACACCATTTTAATCAACGCGAGGCTTTACACCACATTTGGCAAAGTTCCAGCTCTGAAAATTAAAACATTTGATTTGACTGTCTTATAAGAAGCGATAAAACCACTGCAGGGATAGTTTTGAATGTGCGCACATTGTTTTGATGACCTGTCACCAACAACACAATTTGAAATACAACTTACAGAAAGACAAACAAATTGTTTTGTTCACAAAATCTATCTGGCATGCAGCTTGCATGCACACTGGAATTTGTTATTCTGTTTTACATCAGCTGAAGGATACAACATATACATACAATGAAAACAACACTTCATATATTTACCATAATGAAAAGGGCTCCTCCAATTGTTGCTTTTTTCCGAGCCCTCTCCTGTCGGGGGGTAGGAATGTTTAGTTATATTGAAAATGCCTTTGTGTCTGTGTCAATTGCCATTGAAAAGAGTGACATTCTTTTTTTACTGAAGCCCCCCCAACCGAGCTGTACAGGGGCACTTAGACAGAATAGCACAAAGGTCTTTTATGGCCCGAAGCACCGGCTCCTTTTGCACGAAGTTTACCAATACATGTAGCCGTTTCAACAAGGACTGTTAAAAAAAAAACCCTTTACAGCTCAGGGGAGTCTCTCTCTCTCTCTTTGTCATGCAAATGAATGAATCATTGCACGAAACAAAGACTGAATGAATTGCTCTTTATTGCCAGGTCAGGCCTAAAAACATCATTTAATGACTAACAGATGCCAACCTGTCAACATGGGTGGCCTGGGAGCTAATTGTGTGCATAATTGTTGGATGAACTAGCCTGAAATAAAGGTGCAAATGTGAAGGGTCCAAAATCATTCATGCAAAGTGCTGTAAAATATATCGCTTTGTTTTCCAAACTATATTAATTACAGTCCGTCTCATAGTTACAACGCATGCATGCCGTTGAACTAACCGCTTGTCATTTATTTACAAGACGGGACTTTTTGGAGTGTGCTTAAGTATTTTCTTCCATGAGAAGCAATGCAATGCTGTGTAGCTGCTAACAGTGACAGGCAGACGAACATGTGGCAAGACCAATTCGGGACCAAAAACAGATTCGCTCGAAAATAATTTAATTCACTCAAAGCGATTCTTACGATGCACTGGAGCAGTGCTGCAGTGAGCTCCGTTAGCGAAATGCGTGTAGTTTTCTTAATGGCCTGATTAAAATACAATATATGTCCCCCATTTACATAATTGGCCTCCCTGAAATACTATGGGAATTGTTACTTATAAACGCACCCCAATTGAAGGTTGTACCAGTAGCAAAGAAGAAAGATGTACCGCGCCAGTCTCGTTAAGGCTTAATAATTGCAGTCGCAATGGTGATAATGATGGTAATGATGATAAAGGTGCTAGGTGATTAAGGTGAATTGTGATATATGTTGATGGCTAAGATAATGATGATGATGGAGGTGATTATCATGAATTGTGATAATAATGATTGATGATAATCGTGATGGTGATTAAGGAAACTGACAAAACTTGCATAAATGATGATGATGACGATAGTGATGTGATGATGGTAACAAGTTCGCATAGTAAGTATGATGTTATAGAGGCAATAATGACGCCGCTAGTGGTCTTGATGATAATAATAATGATGCCCAACATTGGTGGTGGTGGTGATAATGATGTTGATGGTGATAGTGGTGTTGATACTCATATTATTAATGATGCCGATGATTGTGATTCTAATAGTGATGATGATGATAATAACAATGGTGTCATCAGTAAACAGAACGTGTTGGATAGTTTTGACATTAACTGCCTTGATAATCCGATTGATCTGGGCTACGCCATGTATGTAATGTTTCGCATACATGAATGCATGCAGCTGTGCTTTTAAGTGTGTGCACTTTGTAGTTTTGGAAATGAGAAAGGCATGTGCGCGCATCTGTTTACATATGCGCGTGTATGTGGGGAGCCGAGTGTAGCGGTTAATGCGCTGCGCTACGAACCTGGCGACCCGAGTTCGATTCCCGCTCACGGTCATGGGCCTCCCCTAGGTCGACTCAGCCTCAAATAAATACCTGGTGCGGTGTATAAACATCGCTACTAGGTAGACGAAGGCGCAGTCGGGCATGGTGCTGGCCACCCACCCACTCGTGCGCCGTGTCGCCCTTCGCACAATTAAAATGTGGACATCTTGGTGAATGTGAATCGGATAGATGCATATTTAACTTATTTTAGTGACATGAGGGCAGAAACATGCTTCGCGTTATTTGTTTTGTTTAAACAAAAAAAAACCTCTCCAATTGTTTCTATTGTGTATATTTTTTTTAAGCATGACCATCTTCTGAGAAAGTAGATGTCAGATTGTGATCCTCTGCAGCGATGCTTTTGAGCAGCCTGGGCTGCACTGAATCCCTTCGTAGGTGCTCGCTCAACAGCACTTGCCCCAACAGTCCGTTCAGACTATATGGGGGATCTTTGCCTTGTCTTCGTGTGTGTGCTAGTGGTTAGCGCATGACGGTACAAACTCGGCCACCTGAGTTTGATTCACCCGGTCATGGCCAACATCTGCGATAGATATGTAAACCTCAAATGAGTACCTTGTGTGATGTGTACAAAAAAACATTTTCATTGCACCCGTGCCGGCCGTCCTATTTTACTCGCGAGCAGCACTTGCTCTAGCAGCCTGCGGAGGCTACACAGGGAAGTCTGCCTTTGTCTTTGTGTGCGAGGCGAGGTGGCGCAGTGGGTAGCTCGCTCCGTTGCCAACTCGGTGACCTGTGTTTGATTCCCACCCATGGCTCGCATCAGTGGGCAAGTGATACGTGTCCGAACTGGTCCTGAGCCTGCAATAGGTCGACTCAGCCTCAAATAAATACCTGACCCGGTGCATAAACAACCCGATTGGGGTGAATAAGAGCAGTTGATGACCCCACCATCCTGCCACGATGCTGTGAGCCTGTTTCAATAGGTGCTCGCTAACGGCACTTGCCCCCGACCGTTTTGTTGTTTTATGGCGACATGGAGGATCTTTGTCATTGTGCGCAGAGCGCGCGACGTGAGAGGACGAACAGAGCAAGTTGGGGGAGGGGAAAAGGATGACGCGGGCGGGCGGGCGGGGTAGCAGACAACGCTCTGAGGCAGATATCAATTACTCTGGGGAGTCGTCACACACGCGCACACGCACACACGCGCGCACACGCGCACGCACACGCTCGCGCACACGCACACACACACGTGCACACGCACGCGCACACGCACGCGCACACACGCACACGCGTGCGCACACGGACACACACACACGCGCACGCACACACACACACACGCGCACACACACGTGCACGCGCACGCGCACACACGCACACGCGTGCGCACACGCACACACGCACACGCGCACGCACACACACGCACGCACACGCGCACACACACACACAAAAATCACTGTGGGTGTGGGGAGCCAAAAAAGGGAAGGGGAAAAAAAGTTAATTACCTGTTGTCAAGGCAACTGCTCACAATTAGGAGATGAAGGGAGAGGCTGTGGCGTGAAGAGCTGACTGGTGCTGAGGCAGCAGTGGAACGTGCGCTGGAGCGTTGCCGCCAGCGCAGCGGCAGTAAGCAGCAGAGAAGAAGCCCTCTTGTCTGACCCGCTACGCGGTCCGCCGCAGTTCGCGTATTTTTTAGAGGCCGCATTTAACAACAGGCGAGCCCGACTTTTTTATTTTCTTTTTCCAATGTGTACGCAAGCAGAGCTTGTCGAGACGGTTATTAATTTTGTTTTGTAATTGTGGCTCATTTCTGGTATTCATCACCCGCCCGCCCCTCTCCCCTTAAATAAACAATGGGCCGTAGGGTCAACCAGAGGCTGAGCTTTTTTTGTTGGTGGTCAAATTCTTAAATGAAAGCTTGAAGGCAAGGCTTGTAGAGAGGAGAGAGAGAGGAGGGAGCATTTTATCGTGCTTGCCTTGCGGGTGTCTGTGGGATGATCCCAGCGATATCTGCTGTGATGACCTCGCATTTTGAGTAAGGTGAGTGTTTAAATGTTTAATTTTTTTTTGCCGCTAAATTAAATCCAGCCATATGCCACCCGTGCCGTTTTTAATGGTAACATTCGTCTTGAATAAGGCCGCAGATTTAATCCATATTTTATGTTACCGTCTTTGTTTTGCCCCTGAAGTTCAAGAATGGGCTGAATTATGTTTTGGTGTGTTCTACTTTTTTCTTCTTCTCGTGATGCCTTTGATGTGCACGCATGTTTCATGAATTAATTCTTACTTCAAACAGGAAAAGTTGTCATCCCCATGTGCCACACATATGGGGTATATAGATCTTAAAACATTTTCGCGAAGGTAAACCGTCTGATTGAATACAGCCTTTGCACTCTAAGAGAGAATGTTTTCATCTTGCAAGATAAAAACAGGTGGGGGGGGGGGAGGGGGTCTTGGGCTTGAGGCTGCATGATGCAAGAGAAATAATTCGTGCCACCTTAAAAAAGTTCTACATATAATGGACATTTAAACGTCTCTTGTAGGAGTTTTCCATGGTTTCAGCTCATGAAAAAACAGTTATTCCATGTGATCACATTAACTTGAACCCTTCAAAGGAGATTTCTTGCTAAGGAAGTGAACCCCCCCCCCCCCCCAGAAAGTGGAGCTTCCTCAATGATCGTCATTTATTCATTGTGCGTATAGATTCGACTAAACATACACTGGAACGTGCGTAAGTAGAGCATATGTGAAGGCCCTGCTGTGGCGAGCGGTGGGATGCACGCGCGGTTCTTGCTTTCCGTTGATTGACGAACAAAACAAGCGCGTGTATAAACACGTCTACAAGTGTGCACGGCACGAGCGGGGAATTAGAAGTTGATCAGACGTTTCGCGCCACCCTCCTAATGACCGCAACAGCTCTCTCCGTGCGTGGACATGAGGTGTCGCGCTCTCGGTGCATTTAGCGCCACAGCGCGTGGATTTATAGCGTCTGTTTATTTGTTTGCTGGTGACTTTGTGTATTTCATATTGGAATCGCCTCCAGCGCTGTCGCTACTGGCGGCAATGAAAGTTGTTTAAAAGTCAAAGTCTCGCACGTACGGTGGTCGGCCTCGCTTCGCGCATCTTGTGCTGCGTGGGACAGAACTGAAGTGAAACCGCACCGCCGCGTGCCGTTCTGGCACCTCGGGGCTTCGGGCAGGCTCTGTGGGATGCCCACGGGATCATTGCATTAGGAAGGGGGCTCTTTCTTGGCCAAATGACACAGTATTGCCAAGTATATCCATATATATGTGTGTGTATATATGCCCAATGTGTATATTCAGATGTGCATACCGACTAGGGATGTGATGTCATGCCACAGCAAAGCAATCAATGCACTGTCGCGATTTCTTGGTGGATATTCGATTCAAGGATGGATTCTTGGTTGTCTTGTTTGCACCATCTCGTTTGTATTGTTTCTCATGTTTTGCTGTCCTGTTTGTTCAGTTTGTAGACCCTCCATTAGCCTGAATGTGTCATATAATTTGCACATAGCCAGCAAATTATAATTAATCAATTGTTACGGGCATAGATAAAATGTGTCTATCATGAGCCTCAAGAATCGATATAAATTGGTGATATCGATGATGTGTACGCCGGCATGGCACCAATATAAATAACATGGAGAAAACATTTACAAGATACGTATTAACTTGGACCAAAAGCAGTTGGGCACTAACACACGTTCTGTTGTGCTTTGCTTGTTTTGTGTTTGTCGTTGCAGTTCTTCCAAGTGCTGAGCAAAGGAGACTCTTTGGCTGACAAAATCATAGCTGAAGCCAGTTGGACATCACCTAACAGAATAGGGGAAGAAATAAAAAAACACAAGCCACTTTGTTCAAGCCTCCGCCGCTTACGCGCGCAACCCACTCGGAGAACGCATTTGTTTCGCACGCACGAGTCTTTTTTTAATATCCTCCGCGCTTTAACGATGGCAGCGACGGCGTTCCTCCTCGCGCTCTGCGTGACGCTCCTCGGCGTTCACCAAGCGGCGGCAATCGACGTCGACGCAAAATCGGGACTCAAGTCGGACGCCGACGACCGGAAGGTTCCCTCGCTCGTCGCGCTGGGATCCGCTGCCGGGGACGGCGGAGTCCCGCCAAGCGGCACCTCCACCTCCTCCTCCTCCGCCGCGGCTCAGCCTCGGGAGGGCGAGGCGGCGCGCAGGGCCCGGCCGGGTCACGTCGGCAGGGCCCACGACGCCAAGAGAGGGCGCACGAGGACGAAGCGTGGCTGGGTGTGGAACCAGTTCTTCGTGCTGGAGGAGTACATGGGCAACGATCCTCTCCACGTCGGCAAGGTACACGGCTGTGACGCGCTCGTCTCCAGATGAGTTTTTATTTTGTTGGTGACGTGCTGCTTTCTCTTTGTGTCAAAGAGTTCCGATGCTGCGGTTCGACGCTCTGCACCCGTGAGAAATTACCGTGATGCTCGCGGCGTCGAGGGTGCACACGTGCGGTGATTTTAACTGCAATATAACCGTTTGCAAAGGGGTCTCCACACATGCTTTTGTCTCAGCCCTTTGTGTTCAACATTTTCTTTTTGTTTTCACCCCCCCACCCCGAGGCCACCCCCCCCCCCAAAAAATGATTTCAATTTTGTTTTCACCGTTGTACCGGGGTTTCAAACGCCTGTTCGGAACCCTGACCCAGCAGTCCAATGAAGCACCATGTTGTTGTGGAACAGCCCGCAGCAGCTTCTGATATTCCTTCAAGTGACTTATTCACAATAGGGGGGCAGTTCTTTCCCTACCGCCCTGCTGTGTGTGTGTGTACGTGTGCTTCTTACATGTAAAGCAAAACCTCTTTACACAAGTTGTCTTACATCAACGGCCATGGCCGTTCAGACGAAATGCTGCTCATCAAGATTGCCTTCAGAAACTCAGTGGGAACAAGGTTCCTTTACAAAGCTTCAAATATGCACACTCGGAGCAAAAGTATACATTGCGTGTCGTGTCTTCAGCTCTCGCTGCACACATCACCAGCACCACGCAGAGGTTAAAAGCTCCATGGCTCACGTCATTCTACAGACAACGCTCATCGATTGGCTGATTACATCTTCATAGGAAACAAAAACCCATTGCAGGACCGTCCTGAAAAAAATAGTGCTTGGAACTAACTCGGTGTGGCTTTCCTGGGTAAATTAAGTAATTTGTTAACATTATTGTTGTTTACACCATTGGAACCTCATTTGCCAGTAAAAAATATGATAATTGGTTTTTTACCCTTCTATCTGCCAACAAAACTGACACATTTTTTTACAAGGAGTCATGTTTGCATAGACCACAATACCTGCAGCCATAATTAAAAAAAAAACATAACACCCGAGCTGTCTCGGGTGTGGACCAATCAACTTCAATGACAGTGCATATATTATCAGAGTTATGTTTTTTGTTTGCATTATGGTTGCAGGTATTGTGGTCTATGCAAACATGACTCCTTGTAAAAAAAAAGGTGTCAGTTTTGTTGCCAGATAGAAGGGTAAAAAACCAATTATCATTATTGTTGTTACGCCTTAGCTGCACATGCTCATGGCAAGGACTTTGCTGGTGGGTGGCCAGGAAACGGTGAGCATCGGGGGCGGTGGCAGGAGTGCAAACGTTCAACCGTTTACAGATTGAATGGCGCCGTGAAGTCTGTAGGATGCACTCCGGCAGTCGGCCGTTCCTTCCACGTTGCGCAGACGTGGAAGGGTGTTTGCTCGTCCGGCCTCCGTGTCCTCACTTCCCGAGACGACCCCCTTGCTTGCCTCGTGGGTTAAATCGAGCTGCGAACGGGAGGGGCCCGTGCTCAGGAACGTGCCCTTGAGCTCTCGCGATCGCAAATTCCGTTTGGAACCCAAACCGGCCTGCCGTTCGTGGCCCGAAGCCACAATTAGGACCCGTGATACCGGCACAGTGCGTAAAATGCAAATTTCCCTTTCTTCTACATTAACAGCGGTGCTTGGCTTCTCCCAACGCCACCAGAGGCAGGCTTCCTCGCTAACAGGAGCCGTTGAGAAATTGTGGGAAGTCGCCGCGTGGGCTGTGTGGCTGCATGTCAGCCTGCCGTCAATGGCGCTGTTGGGGTGAGGAGATTTTTAATGGCCTACCAAGGTCACTATGAATAGCCTGACCAGAGGCCACTGGCTGTGTTGTTTTCACCACATTGTGGCTTTGTGGGTTACGTGCTCATGGTAATGAATTGTGCGCAAGTCAGCGTGACATTTTTTGTGAAAAGTTAATGCCTTTAGAAAAAAAATCCTTCCCAAATAATTTGTTAGATTCTTAATGTCCAAGATATACCAAGGCAAGTGAAGTACTCTTTCTGCAAATAGAGATGTAAAGTACTTATTACGCCATACATACCTCCAACAAAATCACCCTAAGTGTGCATTCCCTTCTGAGATGGGGTCAGCTAAGCAGGTTTGAGCCTGATTATTATTTGGATAGGTGCCCACCAAGACTTGCCAGGTATTGAAGGCATGCGGCTGTGCAATAAATACATTTTAATGTGGTTTCCTCCCAAATATTCATTAATGTTCATCAAAATGCAGAACCATCCTGACAGGGAGTCACGTGACTCAATGAGGCTTTCCTGGATATATAATATTTTTACATCAAATGGCTCTTGCGTTTCACAAATGTATAATGCCACGATATATGTTGTCTCGTCAACATGATTGCTTGTAGGAATCGATTGCCTCCAAGTGCACATCTTCCGAGGAGACGGAGCAAATACAATCAGCTCGGGTGTAGGTGCTAGATGGATTTTTACATCGCATAACCGTGAGAGATGGTGACTTGGGGAGGCATCCATTCAGCAGTGGATTGATCATGGCTGATGGTGATGAGTGTTGGTGTGCATTATAAAAATGTAGCAGATGAATTAGAAACCACCATGGAGCCTATTAAAACCAACAAATTAGTACGCCACCCTCTCATTAATGTTAGGCCTCCCACCTCCACAGCTGTTCCCTCTGAGCGTGAACTAAACTCAAATCGACGAAAGATTTCACGCCGCGTTTCTTGCCAGCATTGCCATGGCATTGGCATTGAAATGTGGGCTCAGCTTGCAACATTTAGCGTGTCTAGCCTGTAGTCCACCCTGGACTCTAGCCAGGTTTGCTAATGTGAAAAAAGTCACGGATTCTAGAAGGAGTTGAACATCATCCTGTCTGCCAGCAGGCACCTCCAGCAGGTGAAGGCGGCACTGGCTGGGTCACGTAGCATGCATGCCCAAACAGGTTTCGCTTGGCAAACTAGCAAGGATTAATTTTTCATTCGATATTTTTCGGGAATGCTAATCGGCATTTTGTGGTACTACCATCAGAGTACAAGGATAGACCTGTCAATAATTACTCAACATCAGTGCTCCCTATATTCGTATAATCGTATGAATAAGTTTAAGACAAAATGATACTGGATGGATGTGATGTGCAAAAGAAATGTGTTCCCAGAATCGCGTTCTGGGCTGTTTTGAATGAAAATAAGCACTAACCAGACAGACAGAACCAAATGGATGCAGGAGAAAACTCATCATCTATAGAATTGTGTGGTACAGGTGGAACTGGAGCTGATAAATCTTGCCGAGAGGCAAAACGTACAATTCCGGACTCGTGGGAGCACTTATTTGAACAATGCTCCTGGTCACCTAGTCAAAGTTTCAAGTAAAAGTTACTTCTTGCTCAAACGAGCATCGGGGGCAGTGCTAATATCCGGCTCAAGGCTCTGAACAAGTGGTGGAAACTCCACATTTATTTTGCAAAGGGGGAAAAGTATTTCTAGATTTGAAGCTTTCGTGACTGCAAGGATTCATATTCTTAGTTTTTTTCGGTAAAGTCACGTAGGTAAAAATTTTAAATTTCAATTATTAAAAGTAAAATGAAAAACAATCCACCTGAAGACGCCTATGGACGGAAGCTTTTGTTGCCTCCGAAACGTCGTGATTTTTATTTTATTTTTATTTTACTTTTATTAATTACAATTTTTTACCTACGTGACTTTACCGAAAAAACCTAAGAATATGGGGAAAAGTATATCCATCGGGGAACCACCATTGACTTGTATCGACTGAACTCGGAGATCTTTTGATTCGTGAGCAACTTGCTCTACCACTGAATCACAACACGATAACAACAGGAGGTGGAGCGTCCATTACTCACGACGAACAACGGTGCCGCTGGAGCTGCAACAAACGAGTTGGCACGATGGCGAAATACAGCCGATACATCTGCTTCATCTGACAGACCACCCAACCCCCCCTGCCCCCCGCCCAGCCCTCGTGTGTTCGCTTGTAGCAAGCGAATGATTTCGTCCATCATCGTGATTCATTGAAGGATCACGATTCGGGGGGTCGTCATTCAACTCAAGAAGCGCTTCCATCGTCCGTACGTTTGTGGTGTAAGGGTAGCCCCCTCTACTGGGCACAGGCCTCAATTGGAGGAATTACATACAGCACGTACGGATTTATAATCAATTCGTGATAGACGCTTATGATGGGTATATAAATCTAGTTTTACTTGATGGAAAAACTCAACGCACTGGTTAGAATCAGTGCGGCCTTAAAAAAAATAGGCAACATTTTGGACAATGGCCCTTCATAGCATACAAATGATGTTGCTAGAATTGTTGCATCTGCTGCTGGTGAACTTGTCATTGCCCTTGTTGTTGTTCGTGCCATTGTTGTGTACTTCCGTTGCAGTTGTTGTATGGAGGTGTGTTGAACTTCTTTCGCACCATACGTAGTCAACCACGATAAGCGGAGGTGCGGGGGAAGGACAACAAACACAAAAAGCAGCTCTGATTAAATGAGGTTTCAATGTAGATTTTAAAAAATTGCATAGCTCAAGTGGCTTCCGAATATCGGAAGGAAGAGCGTTCCAGACGGCCGCAGAAGCGCATCTGCAAGCGCGCGATGCGGCGGCCGTCTTTGTTCGATGGCCAGCAGCCAAAAGCTGCTGCTGCTGCTGCGAGGATGGACCCGAGTTCGCGTGACGGTTCATGCTCCTTGACGAGACGCCATTTATTGTTGTCGTCGATGTTGTTGGTGTCCTCCCGCAGCTGCACTCCGACTCGGACAAGGGAGACGGCTCGGTCAAGTACATCCTGTCGGGCGACGGCGCGGGCACGCTGTTCGTGGTGGACGACCGCACGGGAGACGTCCACGCCACGCGGCGGCTCGACCGCGAAGAGCAGGCCTACTACACGCTCACGGCGCAGGCCATCGACCGTCGCACGGGCCACCCCATGGAGCCGCCCTCCGAGTTCATCGTCAAAGTGCAGGACGTCAACGACAACGAGCCGCGCTTCCTCGAGGGGCCCTACCGCGCCTCGGTGCCCGAGATGGCCAATGTCGGTAGGTGGCTGGCGACACGGTAGCATGCGCGTGCGGGCGAGTGCGCGTGCGGGTGAGTGCGCGTGCGGGTGAGTGCACTTGCAAATGAGCTGTAGTGCAAGGGTTAGCATGCTGCGCTACGAACCCGGCGAGCCAAGTTCGATTCCCGCCCATGGCCAACACCAGTGATGGTTATGTAAATCGGTCCTGGGCCTCCCATAGGTCGACTCGGCCTCAAATGAGTACCTGGTGCGATTTTTAAACATCACTACTGGGGAGACAAAGGCGGCCGGGCGTGATGTTGGCCAACCACCCCCTCGTGTGCCATGCCATCCTTCAAAAGTCCTCACTAACAGCACTTGTTCCAACAGTCTGGTAAGGCTATACAGGGGATCTTTGTATGTGTGTGTCTGAGTGAGTGCAAGGGTGAGTCTGTGTGTGTGAGTGTCTGATTGCAGTGATAACTTTTGGGGAGTGGTCATGTCGATGGTAGTGCACTGTGCTGCCAAGCCTGGAAACCCACGTTCAAGTTCTGATGAAGATCAAATCACAGTGGTGAATTCTTCAGACGGTCCTTGGCCTCCCCTAGGTTGACCCAGCCTTAATGATTACCTCGTGCAGTGTCTCTAAAACATCATCACTGGGCCGGCAAAGGTGCTCGGACATGGCGTTGTCTACTCACCCTTTCATGTGCTGTGCCAGTCGTCATAGGTGCACTTGCCCTAAGAGCCTGAAGAGGCTACATGGACTATCTTTGTTTGTGTGTGTGTGTGGGAAGCCATGGTGGACATTGCTTTATGTGCAGATGTGGCCATGTGCGTTGGATTCCCGGCCTAGGATAAAATGATCGAAACCCTGTCTTAAATTTATACTTTGTGCAGTGCATTAACATCAGCACTGGGGAGACAAAGGTGATGGGGAATTGTTCTGGCCACACCACCCCCTTCGTCTGTCAATCCGGCTTACATAGGCTAGGCGAGAACTCTGTGCATTGTGTGTGGTGAGGAGGGGGTGGGACATTGTTTTTACTCTCATATGGAGCAGTTAGCACACTCCGATACAATGATTCTCGGACGTGTCAAATATGGGTAGCAGTTCCTACCTGTGCATTACCTGGGCCCCTCCATCAACCCGTTCTACGATGAGTGGTGGTGCTATTCAGCGCTGGAAATGGGAAGACATTAATGGGGGAACTCATAAATGGTTCCCCCCACCCGCACCAAAAATCCAAGGAGGAGGAACTTCGCTCCGTAGGTGGGTCTCTGTGCGGGTCCGTGGGTCCCTTTCTTAGTCTATCTGCGAGTCAAATAAATAGAGATGAATCCTTGATTCCTTCCGGAACGCAGTCTGGTTCAAATGTTCACTATCGCCACGGTGTTCCGGGGCGTTCCGGTCCATTTCCACCACTGGTGCTGTGTGTCAACTTAACAACCGTTGAAACAAAGGCATCCCGGGCCTGTGCGGTGCTTATCACACTTCCCCTTTGCGTCCTCTTCTGGCCCGCAATTAGTCACTCAACTCGTGCTCCAGAAAATAACAGTACACAAAGGTGCGCTCACAAAACAGCAGGACGGCACTGACATGCCTCGCATGCATGTCACGTGTCTCCGACATTGCACTTGCTGGTGCATCAGCAGTGCATTAAGCTGTCTTTCTCTCCCTATTGTTTCTTACGGCTGTAATGGGTTTGTTTTTTCTAGCTACGTGTTAGGCTATACACGTGGCTTAATGGTTACAGTCACACTTTTCGTAACGCTCACAGTGAAATCAATATTCTGATTCTGACTTTGCTTAGATTCAGAGGAATGGGAAACCACGGATGGGCAGGAAGGTGGCCAGGACTGAGGTCAATAATTTCCCGAGCTCTGCAGCCCTTGATTAGGATGTTTGGCCAACTCCATCAATGAGTGATTAATGCATTCGGAAGGAAACACCGGTCCACTCAGTCCCCGTACAGATGGAAACAGAATGTAAATCCATTCACTTGCCGTCTCGCCATCTCCTGACGAGTCAGAACATGGTGACATCGACGCCCAACCGATGAGCGCAGTTGGCTACGTACGATGCGAAAGAAGTTCAACACACGTGCATCTGTACGAGGGCGTTTCGCAACGTTTGTGCGACCCACAGTGCTGAGTGGCAAGCGTGTGCCACCACCGCCGCCCGCCTTTAACGCTGTGTCAAGGAGAATGTGACATCATTCGGTGATTGCCGTCGCTGAATATACTCGATCGTTACAAGTGATCTTCCGTGGATAGAAATTTAAATTATTGAATGTAATTTTTGAAAAGGCTCTAAAAAGCCTTTTTGCAAATCCACCGCTCAAGGCGAGCGTCTGTCTCGTTTTTGTTTTGTTTAACCAGCCTTCCATCATCATCACGAGCTGTGGCGTTAATCAAATGTGTCCCATGTGTTTTTGATCTGCCTCCCAAATTGATAAATTAGCCATGCTCTCCCCCCTCCATCAACAAATCAGCCAAACAATTAACCACGCCTTGGCCCTAAAGGGGAGCGACCCTGGCTGGCTGGGCCCGCGTGATTGGCTGATCACCCCCCCCCCCTCACCCCCCTGATGGGGTGGAGCAAACGCGGAAATAATCCATCAACTGCTGTTCGATCATCGGAGTTCGCGTCATCTCCACTCTTGGACGAGTTTAGCACGCCACTCGCATGCAGATCCCTGCAATTGTGTGCAAAGATGTGCTTCACCACTCGTTTAAGGCGAGTGGGAAAGCGTTCCCTCTCGTTATTCGGAAGCCGCTGGAGCTATGCATTTTTAAATCTAACGACTTGTTGAAACACGATTAGCAATAATTTACACATTCTCTGCTTTTCGCAGATACGTTGATGTGTCTCGAGTTTGTTACCGTTATTATTATTATTGTACGTTATCTTTGCGAAACAAATGAAGGTAGTGTATGTAGGTTGCACTTCGATTGCACCGTACGTAGCCGACCGTGCTAATAGGAGCAGCAGGTATAGGACAACAAACTAAACACAAAGCAAACTGTTCTAAAGAGAAGATGCTTGAATCGGCATTTAAAAATGGATAGTTCCAGTTACTTCCTAATAATGAGAGTGAATGCTATCCACTGATCTTCACCGCTCATTATATCTGATACTCTGCAACCTAATTAGCCAATAGGGAGGTGGAGTGGTGGCGCAGTGGTGAGTGCTTTGCGCAATAAATCTAGACACCTCACTCAACTTGCTCCAGTTGCAAGGCATGTCTGAACTGTTGTTTAAATTTCTCTCGACAATGCGCAGTGACCGGCATGGTGATGTATGGCCAACTAGCCCTCGTAGTAAAATAAAATGCATGGGGAGGCTGTCAGCAGTTGATCGAGAAGGAGCTGAGAAGTATGATTTTGTTGATTATTAATTCAACTGATCTGCCACGTGTTTCAACATTATATTGGGAGGGGAGGGGGGGGGCAAAGCAGGAAAGGAATGCTATGCATCTTCAAATATTTTTGTGTGAAAATTATCACACTGTCAATTGAAGCCCATTTATTAATAATATATGGCTACGTTGATAAATGGTCGCTTTCGGCTTCATGAGAACCGTGGGTGATTTCGTGTGTACAATGGCTTGCTTTGTTATGAATACATTCATTATCCGAAGCTGAGCTTACCGAAAATAGTTTGGACCTTAATTGAAATGAACATGTCGCAATGCACGTGCAGCAGCTTAATTCACCCAAAATTACTTTGAGAGTGGCGGTGGGGGCGGGGGGAGGGGAGGCCGCAAATGTGGTGAAAAATGCCCATTAATTCTATAGCATGGTCTTCTTTATTTAACCCACGGGCTTTTTTTCTAATGAAGCAGTCACACTCGCGTCTCTTCCTCGTCGTGAAAGGAAATGGCACACGCAGAACCAGCCCAGCCGTTTGCTCGCTTAGCTGTTTGGACTCCCAGCAACAAACAAAAACCCCCTCGTAATCTGTTAGTCTGGATTAAAATCCACACGCGAGATAGTGTTTTGTTTGTGAGCGCAGCCGGCTGAACTAAGCTGCATGTTAGAGGAAAATCCAGGTATCATCCCTTCCAGTGGTGGCTGTAATTGAATGGATGATGTTCCAAACTTGATTTTATCGGCATGGACGCTCTGATGTGGAACTAAGCCCCTGATGAGGTCAAAGAGGTGATCTGACTTAACCAGAAAAAGGGAGGAAAACCGAACAGAACGAATGCCGTTTGGTTGTGGGCGTGCACATTTGGCTTGCGCTCTCTTCATCAAACATCCAGCTGCTGATTTCGGGAATTTTTTGTTATCACTTTTTTCTACACGAATGAGTATGCCACCGTTGTGTGTGCACAGAGTGTCCAGAAATGGCGCATGCGTTTTTATTCTTAGCTGTTAATCGTAACAACGAATTGGTTTACAATAGCAATCATAATAATAATTATTGGGTAAATAAACAAATCTATTTAAGTGGCCACCCCCAGGTTAGATTGGGCCTAAAATAAGTACGCAGAGAGGACCTCCCCTGGACCAAATGTAATTCAAATGAGTAGCTGGTGTTGCGCGTGTGCGTTCTGGAGGAAAACCGTTGGCAGCCGCACGTCGAGTTTACATTCTCATTCCAATCCGTATCTTAGCTTTTTTGCCTTTGGTCCTTAAGCAAATACAAATTGCACTACTTCTTAGGAAGTGTCACACTCTGAGGTGCGTGGGTGCCTGTTTCCTTTCCCATAATTGTGTTTTCTTAAGTGTCCCCTGCATCTGAAATCTATTTTGGTAAATATTTAGAAAACCAATTACTGGTCAGCTTTTAGCTCATATCCCCTGTAGTGGAGGAACTACAGTGATTAGAGAGTTGTGCGTTCTGTGTGTGTGTGTACTTTTTCTGGTGTGTATGTATGTATGTATGCGTACTTTGCCATGTTGATTTTACAGACTTTTGGGTCCAATACTGAGAATGAATAAAGTAAAAACTCCTGATGGAGGGCATGCATCCCAGCCCGACAGACTCACTTTCGCAAGCTCGTTTCGTAATTTATTCTGAAAGTAAATAACGCAACGGCATGACCGCGCTTTGATGCGAATGTTTTGTCTTCTGTACGTTTGCAACACGTTCACGAATTTCCACCCGGTCATCTCATGCCGCACCATGCCACGGCATGACACTTTGCCAAGTGTATGAGTGGAGCATATTTCGGCTTTGAATTCCAAAATTTATTCTGGAAATCCACACTGGCACGAATGACCACGTTGCAACCCATTGCGGTGATTGGGTGATGGGTGATGCGGTGGGGGGGGGGAAAGTGAAAATCGTTTTTTTTTTACATTAATTTGAAGCGTGGAGTAGAGAAGGTGTGAACGTGGAGTTTGATGGCCCTTGCAGGTACACCAGTGATCCGCGTCACCGCCACCGACGCAGACGACCCGACGTACGGGAGCAGCGCTCGCGTGGTGTACAGCCTGCTCGAAGGCCACCCCTACTTCTCTGTGGATCCACACACCGGTGAGGAGCACCGCGGAGCAGTTCGATAACATTTCAACAGCCTCCGACAGTCTAACCTTCGCTGTCGTCCTAGTCGTGCACGTGGGGGTTCTCAATTGGAAGCCATTTCTCTGCAGGTTTAGAAAATACGGCGTATTTATGGAATAATTAGCTTGTTTGACACGTGCGATTTTTTTTTTCTATAAGGATTGGCATTTATTGGGCGCTAAAATTCCACGGCATCTCAATACGTCCACGCCATTTAACCGCAGATGAAAAATATCACTTCATCTGGGCATATCTGACACTGTGGTATTTTATGTGCATTTTTCCCATATCGAGAATGGTGGAAACATAATTTCTGCCCGAATTACAGTCCTAATTGGGATGACATACTTTTGCAGAGAAAAAGCCACTTGGCGATATACACTAATGACCTTGAAAGCCTCTGAAATGTGTTTGAAATGTACGTCTGGAAATGTGCAGCTGCCCACCGGGGAAGCAAAATGGTGGTGAAGTGAAATTGTTCCCAGTTCTGTCGCTGATTTAAAAAAAAATCGAATACATTTTTTTTATTAGAAATTAAGGTTAAACCCAACGTCAGGAACAATTTGTCAACGAAAGCATTTGGATTAAACATCAGACACCTACGTTACATGTCTTGTTGTGTTTAAAGTAAAAAAAATGAAGCGCAATTGGCCGAACATTTGTTCAAAATGTGTTAATTTTTAAATGTTTAAAATATATTTCGTCTTCTTACCCTTGCGAAAGAGGCAATGACGCTTCAATGTGTCCCAATGGGTTAATTCGATCCAGCGGTTATATAAAGGTTACTGAAGGGATCGTGCTGGCGTTGCGTGCGCGCAGGAGGAAAAACTAAAAAGTGCCCGCTACTGCTCATGGGGGGGGGGGGGGGGGGGGGGCTACGATTTCTTGACTCTGGAAATATGTTGGGTGGCTGTAAGATTTCCACGGGCAGCCTTTTGACATTAATTGCACATTAGGGCTCCCACCACAGCTGTCATGCGGGCAAAGCGGTGACGGCCGGTGCCGTTGACCGTTTTATTTTTTAATTTCCCAGCAATGAGCCAAGGAGATTTGACGGATGACAGCGCAGCATAGGAGAGCTAACATAAATATTGAAATTATTTCATGAGCCCTATGAAATGTAACCTTTGGCTCGGTGTGTGGAGGGGATTTGCGGTGACGGCTGCGAAGATGCGAAGGGCACTCCGTGATGTTCGTCCTCTCCACGCAAATTGTGCTGCAAGTGGCAATTTTGGTTGCGTTGTGCCATTGTCTCGCCCCTACCCACGTGGGGCAGCTGGAATGAAATTCGAGCGCAGTCGCTCTCTCGTGCTGTCGAGGATGCAAGCGCCTTTGTTGTCATAGCCCCCGCCATTAGCGGTGCGTTGTATGAATGCTTAATACGGCAGCTGTTTCAATCATCCTAATCCAGTCGGGTGGTGGAGTGCATGATTTTCAATCGGGAGGTTGCGAATTAAAATCCCAGTCAGGGATCGAAGCAGAGATTCATCTCTCCGGGGGTCAATAAAAAAAAAGTACCACTTTGTTTGGGAAGTCAACAGTGGTTGTCCGATGGAAAGTCTCTTTTATTTTACAAGAAAGTGGAATTTCCATCACTGGCTCAGGGCTGTAAGCATGGGATTAGCACCACCCCACGCTCAATTGGGCAGGAAACCACTGCGACCTTGACATTCAGTGTAACCTTTGGAACTACGGCGCTTTGGAAAAGGAAAGAAAATAATCACCTCCAGTTAACACTTCCATCCCTCATGTAGTTACCTGGGCGGCTGGCGAGGGGGTGGAGGCGACTTCGGAAAATAAATCTGCCCGAATGTGCGTTTCCTTTTGTCGTTGATCGTTAATCGCCTTCTTCACCGGCATCCCCTTCCCAGGCGAGATCCGCACGGCGTTGCCCAACATGGACCGTGAGGCGCGGGAGGAGTACCGCGTCGTGATTCAGGGCAAGGACATGGGAGGCCACCAGGGAGGCCTCAGCGGCACAACCACCGTCACCATCTCGCTGTCCGACGTCAACGACAACCCGCCCAAGTTCGCTCGCAGTGAGTCCCTCCGTCGTTCTGCGCAAGTCTCCCGCAAACGCACTGCGAGCGAGCGTTTGCCGTGCCGTGCGTAAAAGACGCGGGTAAAAAAAAAACGGGGGGGGGGGGGGTGCGGCCCTGCGGTTGTCATTTGCTCACAACCACTGCTGGAGGGAAGGTCCTCCGCTCGACGGAGAGCAGGGAGAGGATAGAGGATGTTTTGGCCGACTCTTGCACACCGGCCAGACGTCTTGGAAGAGGATGGAGAGTGCCCAACACTTTACCCCACCCAAATTCGACCTGCCAATCGACGAGCTGCGGTTGTACCGAATTTATACTGCAGGGGTGGACAGAGGCTGGGGCAATGTTTCGTCACGGTTTCTCCGTGGGGGGACTGAGCTGACCGACCTCTGGAGTTGCAAGTCCATTGTCCTCACCGTAACATTGTGTTGCGTCAGTGTGATTGTTAGTGGGTATGTAGGCATGAGGGAAGTATTGGCATAGTGGTTAGCGCACCTCACTTCAAACACGGCATCCTGGGTTTAAATCCCGGCCATGGCTCACATCAGCAGACAATTATATCTGCACCTGTTCTGGGCATCCTTTAGGTTGACTCGGCATAAAATAATGACCTGGACAAGTGTGTAAATGTCAGCGATATCGTTGTAGTTAATTTTAAAATAATACATACTCTTTCTCTGTATTTATAGACAACATATTTAATCTAACTTCAGGAAATGTATGACATTACAAACCTGACAAAATGACTTTCAACTGAAAGTTATCGACATGTCCCACTGACTTGCAGAAATCTCTCTGCCATAGTTAGCATGTCGTCTACTCAGCGCAAACGAGTACCTGGAGCAGTGTGCGCGTGTGAAAATCAGCAATAGGGAGACAAAAGGAGGCATGGTGCATTCCAGACCACCCCCCCCCCCCCCACCTTGTGCTGTGCTGGCCTTCATTAGGTTGTCACTCAAAGCGCCTTCCTCCACAATCTATAAACGTCGATACACAGATCTTTATTTTTTCAACGCCCCCACCACCATGCCCCATCAAAACAACGATTTGATTATACGATTTGGGGTCATGATTTGAGTCATGAATTGATTGATTTTATCGCATTTTTACCGTGTGGTTAATGTTGTTTATTGGATGAGGGGGGTGTTGCATGAGTACAGTTTTTTTTAGACCGTTTGAGACGAGCCTTGAAAGAAAGCTATCTCTGGTGTGGACGAATCAGTTTCAAAGACAATGCAGATATTATCAGAGTGTGTTTTTTGTTTGCATTCTGACCACAAGTATGGTGGTTAATGCACACATGATCCCTTGTTAAAGGTTTCAGTTTGGTGTTTTAACATCTTGACACCTGTTTTGTTGCCAGAAAAAAAGGTGAAAACCTATTCTCATATTTTGGTACTGGCAAAGGAGGTCCCATGATGACCTGATCTTGTTAAAATAATATTCTGATCTATGCTCAGTGATCTAATCATCTGATCCAATAAAAAAACAATTGCAAAAAGTTTGATTGGATGTGATTCAGATATAAACCAAAAGTGCTTTTCAAGTTTTTTTTATATATATGCATAAATATGCATTTATTACACATGAAGAGCATATGTATCTCCTTGCTTGAATCCTTGTGTTATGTATTGTGTTAATTTCCTCGTGCATTCTCAGCATAGGCATTCCATTATTGTGGATGGTTTTCATTTTTTATAAAATATATATTTTTAAATGTATTCTTTCTGAGAGCCTGGGATGATGGCATCACATTCCATAGCGATCAAATGCCTTTTCATTGACTACAAAGACTAGACAATAATGGAATTTGATATCCATTTGACTTTTCCAGAATCCGATCGATAGTTTTTTTGCGTGGTTGCCAAAGTTATTCGCAGCAATTATTAGAAGATGTTTTCCTGATAATTGGATTGGGGAGAAATATAAAATCATCCACCTACATGGAAAAGTTATTAACCGTCTCGGATTTTTTTTTCGACGACACAGTCATTCTAAAAAAAAAACCTGCAGAAATGAATGTTACACAATGTGATGGAGGAACTCACTAAATGAGGCTGCAAAATTTGGCTCGATATAAATAGGAAAAAGTAATGCACACCGAGTTTGCTAACAAAATTAAGATAGTTGATTGGCAGCTGGAAAGAGTGTGTTTATCGAGTGAAATTTCGGAAGTTGGACTGGGATTCAAATTACTCATGAATAGGTGAGTGAGAGAAGAGTGGAGCAATAAAATGTTTTATCGTGAAAAGCAAAAAAACGGTGTGCCTGAAAGAAGCAGTGTCTCAATGAGTGCATATGATCCTGCTATGACACATTGGTCAAAAACGTGGACATTGACAAAGGAAATGGAACAAAAGCTGAAAAGTGCACAAAGAGGCATGGAGAGGCGCCTGCTTGCAACTTACACTGAGACCCAAAATTATAGGGATGCCGTGGTGGCGAGATGTTGACTACCTCGCCTTGTATACAGGATGTCGTGAGTTTGATCCCGACCCTGACGCCTGTATATTTGGAGTTTGCATGTTCTCCCCGTGGTCATGTGGATTTGTATCCTATCCGGGTCCTCCGGTTTTGCCCTCCATTTAGAATCAACAAGCGTTGAAGAGGATCTGGCTGCTATAAATGTCCACGTGATAAGCCACTTCGTTGAGCTATCGTCTGTGGCCAGGTCGCTTCTGAGAAATAGCTTCACTGCTCAGTGAGCCTTACTTTGGAAAATAGAAAAAATGTTTTTTGCGGATCGGAGAACACAAATTATAATGGCTAGAATTATAGCCATTATTTTTAACTGTTAAAAAGAGGTAAGTGGGATAAGTCAGGACACACCGCAAGAAGGAATGTTGACGGAAGTTCTAGATTCATGATGGAGGGACAGCCAATGCAGGGAATACCTCCAGGAACTTCGAGACTTTCAAGGTTAGAAAAGATGACGTGAATTTTGGAAGATTACTCATTGCTCGTGTGCACTCGTGCCTACGTTATTGAGAGCGAGATTGGCATGTAAAATAAAGATGTATCGATATCTAGACCAATACTTCTGATTGGTCTCTATCCTCTTTCTGTCGGCTTGAGCATCACAATTCTACGAAAGGCACACTTGGCCACTTATCCTTGGGATTGTATATTTCCAAGTATTCAGTACGATGCTTAAAGCAATATACAACTTCAAGATACCCCTCCCCTGTTCGTGCGTAAAACCAGTCAAACTCTGAGCATTCATTGTTTGTGAGCCAAATTAGAAAATGTAGCTCTTCTAATATTTCGTTAAAGTTTAGACTCAAAAATATGTTTGTGCCAAACTTCATCTTATTCAATCCGTGCTCGCACATCATTATAATTTACATCAAATCAATCACTCACTCGCAGTTTTGTGTGTATATTAATTTTATGTAGAGACTTACATTCCCTTTTAATTGCAACAAATTTGCCTGAATCCTTGGAGACGGCCGTCTAATCAGATCATGTTTAAATACACTTTAATCTCTTGGACAAAAAATGCAAGGTCAACATCAAAGAAGGAAACTTCTAAAATTAAAACTTTGGCAATCCTGCCCACGACTCCGGCTGGTGGTCTGTTGCTGCTCAGCTGTTTGTTTTGATCACGTAAATATTTCTATATTTACATTTGCATCCCGCTTGTTTTTTTTCCCCACCCCATGCTGGTGGCAGATCTCTGCTTAAATTGCCCGCACACTTGTGCTGGGACGGCGAAAGCGGATAGGCGGGGGTGGCTCAAATTTCCACGTGGCTTTCCATCCGCCGAAGAGATCAAAAACCGCACAGAGCTTCCCGCTACGAGCGCGCGATGCAACGGACTAAGCGCGGGATTTTTCGTCAGCGTGGGGTCCCTCCCATAGGCATCCAGTGGCTGGAAATTATTTTATTTGTGCAGAACGTCCTTGGATGGGGGAACGGTGTAGTTCAATTAGTCGATCAGAGGATCCAGTCGAGAGCTTGTGAGTTTAAGTTGTTTATAATGACTTTGTTCCTTGTAACTTTGAACCTCTAACTTTCACTACATATTTCCCAGGACACCCTTGAGAAGGAGATGTGTATCTCAGTGGAACCCAGCATGCTTTAATTAATAGTGTAGGTCCCTTTATCAATCCACAGCTGGATGGATCCTCCCCCACCCTCTATGCATTGTCAGTCATGGGAGTTGTTTGACCTTACTTCATCACGATGTCTGGTACAGGTTGGTTAGTGGAGGTGAGGCCAGGAGCAGTCGGGATGTCGCTCACCGCTGTGTTAGTCGTGGCTGAGTATCACACTCGGGTTGCCCGGTTCATACCGCAATGTCTGTATGTTGAACTTCTTTCGCACCCTACGTAGCAGATCGTGCTAATTGAAAGCTCCAGCGGCTTCCGCATGTCGGAATGAAAAGCATTCGTGGAAATCGCACAGGGCAGGGAATGAGCCCCCTTTGTGTTGGAGCACGGGCATGCGGATGCAGATGTCACAGAGCTACCTCTGAGATTCCGTCTTCCAGTCACCTGGTCCGCACACAATAGTCAGCAGCACCTTCCCACTCGCTCTGACATACGAGAGTAATGCTCGTCCTATGATGCTCAAACCGATAGTTTTATTCACAGAGCATGAATTCAGCGAAATGAAGTGTGCTAACCACTGTACTACCACTCTACTCGTTGATGAAGACGTCCCTATGCTACCTTGTTCAAGGAAGGAGGGCTAATTAAAGGATATAAACTAAAAGATAGACAATAAAATGTTTACCTTCTCTGAGTCTGTTCATGTCATCCCACAATGTTTTTTTTATAAAATGTGTACCACTCAACTGCGTTTGTATAATGGTAGATGGGTTCTCACCTAAATTGCGTCGACTTTATACCATCAGCTCAAGACAACCAATTGGGTTGAAGTTTCTGGTGATTGTTTAAATAAGAAAGACTAACTTAAAAAAAAAAATCAGACCTACAGAGGCAGTCTTGCTTCTCGTGCGTGTTTTTAAAGAATGTAAGGATAGCGATCTGCCGTCATCATCATCGTCATGGAGTTTTCTCCACGTGGTCGCGTGGACATATTGTCCCCGGGTTGTCCGGGTTTTCCCCTCCACATTTAGGAACGCGCGTTTAGATTGCTTGTCTGCTATGCATTTCCACGTGATGATGAGCCGCTTCGTTGAGCTATTATCTGTGGCCAGGTTGCTTCTGAAAAAAGAAGCTAATTGCTCAGTCGACTTTACCTGGTAAAATATAAAACGTTTTTTTGTGTGATTATCTTACCTTTCCTATACTCTGCACTCTTTTTGTATTTTTGTATCGGTTCTCGTTGTAACTTTCTCACCCGCCCCTACTGGACATATGCCAAAAAGAGCTTCATAGCTCATCGGATTCCACCAGTATGAATACATAGTCTGATTGAGATCAATCAGTGGCATAAATAAACACCGGAGTGAAATGCTTTCAGTTGCAAAATAATGCTGCACGATTGCCGCCAAGCGGCCGAACCTTTTGAGTCGGCCCTAATTTTACTAAATTCATCTTGGAAGATCTACCGCTCTGCAGGCCAGCCTTTACTCGGAGAGTTCAGAATTTCACTTTTATACTCCTGGTGAATTTTTGTCTCGCTGAGAGATCGATCATGTTAATTGCATTCCTCCAAAGCGTCGGTGCTTAACGCCAGGCAACCGGGCCGGCATGATTTGTTCGTCCCTTTGAAATGCTCAGCTTTTTACATCTGCCTGCTCCCCTGTCACGATTAATATTCAAAAGTTAAATTATGCTGGAAATGAATGCAACATTTGTAATTTATTGAATAATATGAATAACTTTCAGTTTCATAACCTCCACTCAAAAGTCTCAGAGCAGTGCTTATTATGTTAAACGCCCTTATCTGAAAATGTAAATATCTAAGCAATTATGTTCCTCAATGTTTTAGATGCACTCTACGGTATAATAAAGCTTGTCTGTTTCCCTAATGTCCAATCATCAGGGGTCGCGTCTTCAACCACAATGGGAGTAAAAATAAACCCTCTTTGTTGTCTCTCGTGGTGCCTGGTCTACTGCGCGTAATTAACGGATTGAAAGCTTTCCAAGCAATTATATAACCTAGGGCCAAGCAACATGGAATTGCCGACAACATCTCCCCCCCTTTAGGAGGCGGCGCGTTACTCTCCGCTGTTGCGTCCGAGGCATTTCTCTTTTTCTGCAGAGTGCGGCGAGCGTCGCGTCCCGAATTGGAGGCGCGAGGCGTCGCTTTTGATCCTTCATGCCGTGGTCGGCCCGCGCTTCCACGCCCGTCGCGTTCGGGCGTTGATACACGCGCTTTGCCCATGGGGAAAATGAGGATCAAATTGCGCGGCCTCTCATGATGAAAATCCAATTGTTTTGAGCGGAACGGCGCGCCATCACGGGTTAAAATAATCTACACTCCCTCCAGTGCTTTGGTGTCCGCACGCTTGTGTATTCATTTTCATGTATTTACGTTGCGTGTTCGAGGTACGGAAAGGCTCTTGAGGAAAGGTTATTGAATGCATGCTCAGCCTCGAACACAATACTTTGTACGCGACCTTAACATCAATGGGTTGTTTTGTATGTTTTTGAAGAATGATACTGGGTGGAGAGTGGTGGTTCAGCGGTTCGTACTCTGCATCATAAAACCAGGTTACACGTTTTAAAGCTTTCGTGACTGCAGGGATTCATCTTCTTGGTTCTTTCGGTAAAGTCACGTAGAATGGAAATAATAAAATAATAAAAATAAAACATAATAAAATAATTCTCACGACGTTTCGGCCACAACGCAAGCAGCCGTCCTCAGGTGAAGAACAGGTCTGTCGAGAAGACAGACTCTGTCTTCTCGACAGACCTTTACCGAAAGAACCAAGAAGACAGGTTACACGTGTTCAATTCCCAGCCATGGGTAACATCAGTGGCTGGTGCTATCTGAGCCGGTCCTGAGCTCTCCCCCCAAACCCGCACTAGCTAGCACAGTGAAGTATAATCAAACAACCCACATGACCAATGTGGCATCGGAAGGCTTTTGGCCAGTAGTGGATTAACAAAGGGTTGGAAATTATAATTTATTATTATTCTAAATGTTGTGGCTTGGCTCTCCAACACACCGGTGTGCTGTACTAGTGACGAATTGTCACGTTCTGTTTACGTGACAACCCTTACTAGTTGGCTGCGTCGGGTGGTGGTGGGTTTTAACGACGTATTTATATATTTACGCGATCTAACCCCCCAAAAAAACTCTTATATTACCAAATTCAAGTCAAACACCGTATTTTCACAAACATACCAAATAATAGATTGCAGTCAATAGCATAAAGAAATTACTCTTCCTCCTTGTTTAGAGACTGCGGTGAGATGCCCTTGCTTTGAAGTGAGAGGCACCTACAAGATCAAAATGACTTCAAGTCAAATAAGTGGCACACAAACAACGTGCACGCAATACAATACGCGGTTATGAGAAGTAAAATGAACACTCGCTGCGGTTTTTCAATTTACATTTGCTTTCTCCCAATTTTTTTATTTCGGGACTTTTTTGGACGTTGTTATTTATCTATTTATTTGGATTGGTTCTACATGATGGCTGGTTGTCGACTGCATTGTTTAAAATTGGCGCACTGTTGCTTTGCATCCTTCACTTGCAAATTGTGTTTACACGTAAAATAGGCATCCCGGTTGCAAAAATATAAATCTGAAATTGAAGAATCACCATGGTGTTTTCCAATGTTCCCAATGCAAACCCATATAAATTACTAACATGAATGCATAAAAACATTACGCAGCGTGCACATATACATCATGAAACCTAATCCAACATCGATGGCAGTTGTGACAGCTAATACCTCAAAAAAAGCATAAAACGCCAGGGCACTGCTTCACCATTTTGGCAGCATGCTGCTGCGTATTAACGACGTATTTTGATTACAGAAACTTGCGCCATTCCGTGATGATGATTTGCCTTAATTCTCACGCTGTTCCAGTTTTTTTTTTTAATTTGTGGCTTCTGATGACTTGCATTTTAATTTTTGTTAAGGCACGCTCACGGCACGCTCATAGTTCAAACGCTGCTATGGAGGCGGGCGTTGCATTTGCGCAACGTTACGATCTCAGCTGCCCATGAGTTTCAAATGTGGGTAGGAGCTTCGGAGCATCCAATGCGATGGGGCAGAAATGGCATTCCTCTTCTTCTTGGTTCTTTCGGTAAAGTCACGTAGAAAGGAAGTAATAAAATAATAAAAATAAAACATAATAAAATAATTCTCACGACGTTTCGGCCACAACGCAAGCAGCCGTCCATCGTCTGTCCGACAGACCTGGTCTTCACCTGAGGACGGCTGCTTGCGTTGTGGCCGAAACGTCGTGAAAATTATTTATTATGTTTTATTTTTATTATTTTATTACTTCCCTTCTACGTGACTTTACCGAAAGAACCAAGAAGATGAATCCCTGCAGTCACGAAAGCATTCCTCTTGTTTCCCAATTCGTTTAATTTTACAACTTTATTTTTCAAAAAAGTTTCATCATCTTTAAAACAAAAACAAACAAACGGGTCGATTAGCCTGGGTGAGATGAGCCAGAACAGGAAGCAGCACAATAAATACAGCATGTAGGTTGTTGATTAGTCTCCTCATCCTATGGCGTTGCACCTCGTATATTGCAACTCAGAAACCTCCAGAAAAATTGGCACTTTATTCAGGAAACAAACAAAGTCGTAATAATTTGTATTTTTTTTACAATAATTATTATTGCGACCACATTTGCCAACTTTGAAGTTACAGGAAATTGCTAAATGAAAACAGAGCAACATTTCCCTGCCGATGCATAACTCGGCAGGATCTGAGACTCGGGTTGGCTTTCCTGGGTAAACAAACATTGTCTTGCTCCTCTTCCCTTGCTGCGGGTCCCATCATTCCTCCCCTTCCAGTTCTCTCCCTCTTCTCCCCTCCTTTTGCTGTCCCGCTTCTCTCTCCTCCTCCTCCGCCTCACTATCCAGTTTCTCCCTGCACCCTAACCCCGGCGTGTCCGCCACGCGTGTCGTCTGTGCGTGCGTCCGCGTGCGAGCAGGCACGTATCCGCTGTCCGTGTCGGAGGCGGCGGGCGTCCGCTCCGTGGTCGGAAGGATCCGCGCGGACGACGCCGACGTCGGGGAGAACGCTGCCATGGCGTACACGCTGATCGAATCCGACGCTCCGGGCATGTTCGACGTCACCACGGATTCTGACACGCAGGAGGCCATCATCACCCTCAAGAAGGTGCCTGACCCCGCCCCTCTCCCGATCCCCCCCCCCCCCCCAAAACAAAAATCTCCAGCTGGGTCGTACTCCCAGTGCACAGGGAAGACGAGGTGTGGTGGTCGCGGTGAAGCCCGCGCACGCGTGGAGACGGACACGGGGATGCATGGGGATGCACATTGGAAACACAAGATGGCACAGATCGAGAGACAATGGAGACACGCGGGGATCCGAGGGGACGTGTCCAGAGAGCACAGATTAACACAATGTAGGCAAGCAAGGCCACGTATGGGCAAAGGCAGAGACACACAGGGACACACAGGGACACGCACAAGGACACAAACATGGGAACATACGGTGACACACTCAGACCCATGATATACTCTTGGGAAAAAACTGACACAAATGGAGACACGCACACAGGAATTTGCACAGTGACACATGGGAACTTACAAAGGCACACTGAGATGCTCATGCTAACACACAAAGACACGTGACTAGATAAACACGGTGACACGTGGATACTCGTGGCTATTTATACACTGGAATGATGCACGTGGGGATTTACACATCCAGAATGATGCTGTGAGTTCTGTACAGGCACTTGGTCGCATCTGCTGCGGCAAAGCATTTCGTGTTTCTGAGCAGCTGCCTCTTGTGATGTTTCAAGAGTTGTCCTCTTGTGTGTGTGCATGCGTGCGTTCTCTGGGGACTCCGGTTCTTGCTGTCGCACAGCGGGTTCATGAAAACAGTGGAATTGGCCAAATTGTCCTGAAGCCAGGACCCTCATGAAAGATGTCTGTGACACCCATTTGAGGTCTTTCCGACAGCCCTGTTCTTCACCTGAGGACGGCTGCTTGCGTTGTGGTCGAAACGTCGTGAAAATTTTATGATGTTTTATTTTTATTATTTTATTATTTCCATTCTATGTGACTTTACCGAAAGAACCAAAAAGATGAATCCCTACGGTCACGAAAGCTTTAAATCGAAACCCATGTGAGGCTTCAACATTATTACGTCTTGCCCACTAATTGCAGACTTACATGAAAATACGGGGGCAAATGTTTATCGTGCGATTGCACTTGAAGGAGGAAATTTTATGGAATGTTTAGTCAATGGCTCCGGATGCACAAGTCAAACTTAAAGCAAAGTCCCGCATCACAATTCACCTTTACTCCCTTGCAGTGACTGATAACGGAAGTCATTTCAACGATAGGCATCAACTGGAGTGGCAGTGTCTCCTTTGTATGCAGTGGAGTGCGATTTTTTTTGTCGTGTGTCCGGCGCAGGATGAATTGGTGCCGCACCTATTGTGCACCCCGAGACTTAAACAAATCTTAGTGGCTTCTCTTTAATTATTTTTTGCGTCACGAATTAAAGCTCACCACATGTATATATTTGATTGTATTGCTGATGCTCCCTTTGAAAGTTCTGTCTGTGTTCTGCATTTAGCTACGTCCTTCTTTTTGTTAATTTCACCGTGGATCGTAGTTAGTAAGAACGCAGGCGAACGTCCCAGGCATGATTAACGCGCAGAATTCGAGGAACGATTTCCAATTAAAGTGGCTGAATTCTTGTTACAGTTCTGTTTTTCAACCGTCGATTCCGTGCATAATTTCAACCGTAACATCATTAAAATTCCACACCAGGATCCTCAACAACCCACTCCTGCATCGAGGTATACGGAATCCTAGAATGCTGCTTCGCGAAACCAGCGGGGAGACAGCTAACGATTCCGATGAGCATCGTGAGAACATTCCCAAAGGGCATCATTAATATCTGCCAGCATCTGACTCCTAATGATGCCATCACAATCCTCACCGCTCATGCATTCGTCACCCACAAACGTAATGCTATTCAGCAACGGCGCAAGCCCGCTATGCGAATTCACACCCATTCAGATTTCCCAAAGCCCTATTTCCCCGTGGGAGCGTTGATGTGTGTTTTGATCGTGGAAGCTGACTGATTTGGCCCTGCAGAGCCGTGCTGCTATCCCCAAGCGATCCTGCGATTACGACTCAGAATCTCCCAATCAGCATTCATGCCGTTCATTTGTAGCATCACTGACAAAGGCTTGTCTTGTTTCCATTAAACATAACCATATGCTTCAACTCTCTATGATGAATAAGAACATGTGGCTTTTTTTTCTATCCTCACTGGGGTTGTGTCTGTCAGCGCCAGGCAGGGTATGGGGGTGGGTGGGAGACGGACAATATTTATTCTCTAATTTTGGCAAGTTTTGACCGTGGTCACGTGGAAATTTGCTAAGAAAAAAGTTAATTATGCACTCCCCCGGTATATTGTCGTAACAAATGAAACTTTTACCGTCTGAAAATTAAGTTTTGTCTAATGATAATTATTATTATATTCCGCAGTGGATGTGCATTAACTTGATTAATCATCTGTACGTTGATTTATACACTGTACACAATGTGTGTGTGGGTGTGAGAGCTCGCATGCAATGCTCCTTATGACCAGCGGAACGCGGTAAATCGTGGGCAAAATGTGAGAACGATGCCTGCTTTTGGCTTAATTGAAATAAATTATAGAGGAAATGTCAGATAAAGCGTGGGAGAGAACAACTGAATTATTCCCATCGTGTTAATGACCTTCAAAGAATATTGAAAACAGAACCGCGTTCTGCATGATACCCGTAGGGTTTGTGTGTGGGAGGATGGGGGGGGGGAGGTAGGAGATGGATGTGTGGGAGAAAAGGAGATCAAGAGTAAAGCAGGACAAATGTATGGCAGGCTATAAGTTTGCCACCGTCCACCTTTCCACTCGCCGGCCTTTAAAATGTAAAGTGCAGGAGCCTTTTTTCTCCTCTTTGAAGGTCCAATACTTTGTCTATTCACGGATTATCTGCACCAAACCGCAATGGGCAGCGTGCTGGTGGTTAAGTGTGGTGTATCAGCCCCCATCAGCAAATACGTTGTGGAGGCCTTCATCCAGGAGTGGATCGACAGAGAATGGTTGCGAATGACAGTGTTTTATATTCGGGCTAAACAAGGTTTAGGCCAATGACCAAAGCAAGGTTATAAGCAATTCAACCATCAAAATTCCCCATCGCACGAGATCTCAGAAGCTAAGCAGGATTGAGCCTGTGGATAGATAATGGCTGATGATGATTATGGTTATGATGATGATCATTGACATCATTTCTGACTCGATATTTTGCCTGAAAATGCTAAAGCACAAGTCACGGAGCGCCGCCAGAATTAAGAAGCGCAATTGACCGTGGCGCTGGACATGGTTAGCAGCACCTGAACTGAGAATCAAAACAGGTTTCCAAGACAACCAATGAATACGAATAAACAGACACGGAGAACAACCGCACGTGTATGCAGTTGTACCAACAGGGCCTGATGCTTAAGACGCTATGAAGCCTGGTGCACACCTGACTAATCATTTGCACAACTGATTGTGGTCATGCAGCCCAGACTATGAATCATAAAGCGAACCACTGTAGGTCGGTGCTCCTTGCTAAACGAACTCTCTCCCGAAGCCCTCTCGTCATGGCTGGTAGACCGCGACATTGGCATTCGGCTCCCGTGCACGACTGAGTCGCTCCAGAAATGTGCCTGCAGCTGCCTTGTCCACATCTGAGCGAGCGGTTGCGCAACAAGAACATTCAAAGAGCACATTCAGGAATCGCAGCAACCACTTTGAGTTCGCCTGAAAGCAGTCCTTCGCTGCTGCAAGCAACCAGTTACTCAACTGCTAGTCGCAGCGATCGGTTTGCCTGCAACCGTATCGTACAATTGATCACTCCGGTAGCGACCCATCTTTAGGCTGAACGTGTCACCTTCTCCCAAGTGTGTGCACGTGACCTTGTCCGGCATGTGACCTTGTCCCGCGTGTGACCTTGCCCCGCGTGTGCGTGTGTGTCCCACGCAGCCGCTGGACTTCGAGAACCGGGAGTCATACACGCTGCGCGTGCAGGCAGCGAACACGCACGTCGACTCGCGCTACTCGGGCGTGGGATCGGCGCGCGGCGTCATCCTCGGGGGCGGCGGCGGCGGCGGTGGCGGCGGCGGCGGAGCGCCGCTGGGAGGGCCGTTCCGCGACACGGCGCTGGTGCGCGTCGCCGTGAAGGACGAGGACGAGCCGCCTGTGTTCGGCGCCGGCGAGTACCGCATGGAGGTGCCCGAGAACGGCACGGAGGGAGCCTACGTGGGCAGCGTGTCGGCACGCGACCCCGACCGCGCCAAGCTGCCCGTGCGGTACGTTCTCGCAAGCGTGGAACGTGAACGCGTGGTTGGACGTACCCTCGGGGCAGTGACGTGGCTAAGTGGTGGCACGTCCGCGGCTTTGTTTCAGAGGTTCACGGTTCCGACGCAATAGCTGTGCCTGCATTTATTGTAAATGTGCGTGCCCTCTGCTTCAGAGTGACTGTTAAAGATTGCTTGACGTAATTCGCAAGCGTGGGCCATTGTATGCCGGCGTCGTGGCCCAAATTTGTCAACGCAATCATCACCGACTACTGCGAAAACTTGGCAGAGAAAGAGGCATGAGATTCATGGAGGCTTTCCTGGGTAAACAAGTGGAATAATAATAATGTTTTGTCTGGGCATGTGTGGCGCTGGCCATTTTGTGTCGGTCTTAACGGATGCCTGAAAAGAACACTTTGGTACCCAGCACTGACAAGTATAGGTGCAGTCGTAAAATGACTTGCTCATGACCACTGTTAGTAGAAGTGCCCCCACTAGAGTGAGCTCTTGAGAACCCCTCCTAGGGTCTTATTTGGTCTACTATTCTACTCTTAGAACAGGTGGGAGTACCCACACTTTACCCCACCACACGTGACCTACCAATCAACTGACCGTGGTGTGCCCACTCATACCACGGGGTGGATGGAGACGGTAGGAATCGAGGAGTTTGCCAACGTTGTTTTTTGACTGCCTCGCACGCCAGGAGATCGAATAGAACCGGTGACCTCTGGAACGCAGGTCCATTGGCGCTCGCCATTAAACTAAAATCTAGAAACTAAACTATTTTATGTTACCAGGTAAGGTCCACTGAGCTATATAGTTCTGTTTCAGAAGCGACCTGCCCCACAAATGATAGCCCAATAAAGTGGCTGATCGAGTGGATATGTAGAGTTGCCAAATGCTCTAAACGCATGTTGAATCTAAATGCAGAGAGTAAAAGTGGTGGAGCCGGAGAAAAAATCCACGCGACCAAAGGGTGGGCATGCAAACGCCAAACATACAGGCATCAGGGTCGGGATCGAACTCATGACCCTACTGTATACCAGGCGAGGGAGTTAACATCTCGCCACCACGACGGCGTCCCATTAAACCAGGTAGTGAATTAATGAAATGTTAATCTGATGATTGGATTAAGATTGTAATGCCCGGGTGCAAAGGGCTTCGTTGTAATCTTTGAAGTTGGTTGACGTCGTGCCTTCTTATGCAAACATTTTTGTTCGGTGAAGGTCGAAGGTTCCGTTCGTTCCTCCAAGGTCAAACAACCAATTTCATTGCCCCACGTGACCTTCTCCTGGTAATTCTAATTACAATGAAAGCACATTTATCAATATTTGCTCATTTCTTTACGCACACAGAAACGTGCTTGCAGACACAGGCAAGCAAACATACATTCCTGCAAGCTCATACAATATATATCGTGACGATTAGTAGTGTCTGTAGAAAGCAGTACAGCAAGGAGGGTGTCGAGCTATCTGTGCAGCATGTGAGTATTGTCTTCCCGAGTGCGGCTTTCCCTCCAGACACTTGGCTTTCGGGACACATGCATGAATTACTAAAAATAGGCAATTAGCCAAGCAATCCAAAGCAACACCGTCTTTAATAAGCGTCTTGAGGGTCGATTATTCGTTTCTGCATCCCCCCAGGCTACTTTCCTCCAATAAGCATTCATCATAATTGCCATCAAAATCCATTACCATCAATCATCCCGTTGAAAGCGGTCTTTAGAAAAAGAAAAAAACACTTTTAGAACCTTAATAATGCACCTGCAAATTATTTCAACTTTTACCGTATAATTGAGATTCACTGATGTCTGTCCAATTTTTTTTTGCACCCCCCCACCCGTCCATCTCCTGCGAGAACCGAGGCCGTTTCGTGTTCACGGAGGTCCCGCAGGAGTGCGGCTTCGTGTTGTAAGCCCGATAGGAATCAATGGAGAGGCCACATCTTTGGGGAACACTTTTATGCAACCTTAAACATTGTCAGTTGACTGCACACTGAACGCAACCTAAAAAGCAAGCTTTCTCACACCCAGACTGTTGGGGCAACTGCTGTTAGTGAGCACTGACCAAGGCTGGCAAGGCACACGAGGGGGTGTGTGGCCAACACCATGCCCGGGCACCTTGGTCTCCCGAGTGCTGATGATTACGCACTTGCACCAGGTACTCTTTCAAGGCTGAGTCGATCTAGCAGAAGCCCACAATCGTCACTGGTGTTGGCCGCGAGTGGGAATTCAATTCGGGTCGCGTAGCGCAGCATGCTAATCTCTACGCTAGTCGCTGACCTCCATTCCCTACACACATTCAGAAATACACATACATGCATGGACATAATAACATACATGTTGGCATCCATACAATACATATGTGAAATAATGCATGCATCATACACACCTGCATCAGACATTTAAACTAATTAAGATATTCAGGAAATATCTCATTCCACAGGAGAACATTAATCAAGAGCAGGTTCTTTGTTCTGCTGCATTAATTCGTTGCCTCGTGAGTGACCTCCCAGTTCCGTGATATTTAAAAAGAAAAAATGAATTGGTTATATTTAGAGCGTGCTCAATGTCACTGAGAGATTTAAAGGAAATCTGCAAAACTGTGTATATCTAATTACAATCTAAACTTGCATTTTTATTTTCAAACGTACAATTCGGCGTGCGTGATATTTGTTGATGAGGCCGGCGGGCTTCACTGTGCCGGTGTCGTGACGCTCACCGGGGAATGTGTTTTGGTCGGTGTGGCAGAGCGAGCGGCTCGCGATCGGGAGGTTCCAAGTCCACATCTCGCTTGCGGCTTTGACTCATCATTATCATAATCATTCCTCCGAAGTCGATGAGATTAGTTCCACTTTGCGGGAAAAGTTAACAGTGCTTGTCTTATGAAAGACTACCCCCCCCTCCCCCGCCATAGGAATGTGGAATGTTCTCCAACGACTCATATGAGCCGGAAGTAGCTTTTGACTTTGAAATAGCATTGCTTACTGTGCCTCATTCTGGACAACTTTTTGGGATCGCAAATCCTTCGTTATGTCACTGGAGATTCTGCTTTCTTCGACAAAATGCGTGCAGGACGATAAAAATACTGAATTACGTACTGGAGTTTGACAATGGCGATGCAGCGGTTAACGCGCGCTTCACTATAATGAACCCAGCCACCTGAGTTCGATTCCCGGCTACATCTAACATCAGCCGTGAGTGATATCTGCACCGGTCTTGGGCCCCCGGCCCTTCCACCAACCCATTGTCAAAAACCCCCAAGACCAACCACGGCATAGGGAGGGATCCATTGAGAAATTGATTCACAAAGGGCTCGAAATCATTCCCATTGATATGAATATCGAGGCAAAATGACAAACAACGTATGTGCATGTGACTGATCAATTCATCAATAGCCTCTATTTATGACTGGGCCATTGTCCATTGAGGCACTATATTTATGTTTCGAGAGAGAATACAATACGAGTGTTCAGCGTACAAACCAACACAATGCAGACAGAAATCAATCTTTCCAAAAAAGAACACGCACACACACATATATATGTACAGCGTAAAAATAACAAGATCTCATTAAAGCTTTGTATTACAATATAGTTTGTTGCGGTCTTGCTCTATAGCTTGGTTGTGGGTTCTCAGGTAGGACCACGGTCGGGAAACTTGCTCCACGTGCTGGAGATCCCTCAGTTGCTGAACAATTCTGAATAATTGCTTACCAAAAATTATAAATAATTGTTTCCCCAAAAATCCACACAGAGTGCAACGGCTCAGTCTGGCTTTTCAGACATTTCGTGAACATTTATGCACGTAGGAGAAAAGCAGAGCACCCCGATAAAAGCCACACGTGCGAGGGGACAACGCTCTATCCCTGTAGAGATGGGACAGGTGATGATAGTCGACTCTTGATGTCACCGCCTCTTCCTGGCAAGACAGGGTACGGCAGCTCGAAGGCCAACTAAACCGTGAAGGGAGTTTTTTTTTACAATGGAGTGAAACGTCAGACTCATCTAACAACGAAACTAATCTATTTTCTATTGTACAAGGTAAGGCGCACTGAGCTATATAGTTCTTTTTCAGAAGCGATCTGGCCTCAAATTATTGCACAACGAAGTGGCTTTTGGTGTGGAAATGTATAGCAGCCAAATCTTCTGAACGTGCGATGTCGATTCTAAATGTGGAGGGAAAAACCGGATGACCCAAAGAAAAATCCACTCAACCACGGAGAGAGAGACACCACAAACTCCAAATATACAACAGGGATCAGGGTCGGGATCAAACCCACGACACCCTGCATACCAGGCGAGGTAGTTAACATCTCACCACCTGGACAACAGCGAAACGTCGGACTTGAATAACGGCGAACACTGCACAACACAGGCCGAGAGGCGAACCGGTGAGCTAAAGCGCTGCCGTTGTTTTTTTGTTCATTTGATCACTCGCTCGCGCGCAGGTACTACATCGACCGCAACACGGACTTCGAGCTCTTCTTCAACATCGAGCCGAACAGCGGTGCCCTGAGCACAGCGCGCGCCCTGGACCGCGAGGCGAGCGCGTGGCACAACCTGAGCGTGTTTGCCCAGGAGGAGGGCAACGTGGCGAGTAAGAACAGCGTGCGAGTCAGCGTCCGCGTCACCGACGTCAACGACAACGCGCCCGCCATCGCCATGCCCGACCCCCCAGACGCCACCGTGTGCGAGAACGCGCGGCCTGGCAAGGTGAGTGGGAGGGGACGGTGTTGGGGGGGGAAGGGGGTGGAGGTAGAAGGAAGGAGGTGGTGGGGGGGGAGGTGGACATACAAATGGACAGATGTGACGGACAAAATTTAATATCCGGAAAAGAGCAGACAGATGAACAGATGGGCGACCAGATCGATTAGCAGAGGGACAAATAGGCAGATGAACATATGGACACATACACAGATGCACGTACACACACACACGCGCGCGCGCGCACGTGCATTAAAGTCTCGTGTCATACACTCACTTGTGCACCGGCTCGTGAATGTGCATGCACTTCGCGTCATCTGTGTGACATTGAGAGAACACGGCAGGAGCAGTGCAGAGCCAGCTCAGCTTAAAAGACTCATCCTCGATGTGCCTGTGCATGTGTCTGCCTGTGCGCGTGCGTGTGTCTGCCTGCCCGTGTGCGTGCGTGTGTCTGCCCGTGTGCGTGCATGTGTCTGCTTGCCCGTGTGCGTGCGCGTGCGTGCCTGTGTGTTGTGTGCGCGATTGTCTGCATGTTCGCCTGTATGCACGTGTGTTTGTGCTCCGAAGGGAGCGGTGGTGGAGCGGTTAGCGCTACGCCGCGCTACGAACCCGGCGACCCGAGTTCGATTCCCGCACACGACCAACACCGGTGACGATTATCCGAACCGGTCCTGGGCCTCCCCTAGATCGACTCAGCCTCGAATGAGTACCTGGTGCGGTGTGTAAACATCACCACTGGGGAGACAAAGGCGGCCGGGCGTGGTTGTGGCCACCCGCCCCCTCGCGTGCCATGCCGGCCTTCATAGGAGCTCGCTAACAGCCCTTGCCCCAACAGTCCGTTAAGGCTATGCGGGGGGGATCTTTGTCTTTGTGCTACTCACGTGCAGCTGATCCAGACGATCGGCGCGGTCGACCGGGATGAGCCACTGCCAGGACAAAGGTTCTTCTTCTCCCTCTCGGCCGACAATCCAAACTTCACCATCGTCGACAACGGAGGTGCGTCAAGAGCCCCGCGGACTGCCAGTGCAGCTGCCTCACGGCACACTTCCTGCCACCAGCCCAGTGTCACAATGGACTGCACTGTGAGCTGGATATAAGCGGCACATGCTTGCATTGCACTGGTGGAGGGGGAAAGCGAAGGGCCACTTCTGATATAAGCACACTGCTTCGGATATAAGCCCCAGATGGCCTTGCTCCCAAGTGGTGTGCTCATATCCAGCTTCTACTGCACCGCCCCTTCTGATGTTATGTTAAGGCTTTACTTCCATGCCACCTTGCAAATTTCAGAATGCCTGGACCTGCTATGCATATCTTCGTGGTATGTATCACAGTTGCGTTTTAACACGTGTGTTACTACATGTGATGTGCGGGGCAGCAGGCGGCAATTTGGCAAAGTACATTGTTGTACTGTACTTCTATGATCCCAAGCCTATGTTCCCCACGTTCACCAATGAGAACTGGTCAGTGTGGTGAAGTACCCTATTGTCAAATAACACCCACGACCTGCAAGGCATTGGCACTCCCTCATCCAGCAGTGGATTGATAAGGGGACTGTACATTTACACGCGTGCCTCAGGAAATGATGTACCTGATAAAGCTTAAATATGTCCAGAGTGATATATTTGCAAATCCTTAACGCATTTGTGAAAGCGGCGTGCTATTGCTTTCAGCAGCAGAAAATCCTCCGTAAAAAAATTATCACTTCAATTATTGCTTCGAGGTTCTTAAGAATTAATTTTGTTAAAAGCCACGTATGTAATGTAAATATTTTAAAAGCATTCTCTAAACTTGGATTTCGACCACCCTTGGCAAGTGATACAGAAAGTGCATGACGGCAAGGCACATTCATGCATAGCCCCCGCTCGTTTCTGATTGCCTCATGTGAGTGAGACATATTTTTTGGGATGAAATTGTGAAAATTGTGCACATTATCACATCATAATTTCCCTTTCTTCACGTGACACCTTTAAAGACCCGAGAACTCCACAAAGTGCCCATTCCAATACGAACCAGGTAACTCTTCGCAGCCCTAGGATATTTGCACTCAACGATGCAATCTTCAGATTAACACCAAGTCTTGGTTGAGGTCAAAAGGTCACAGGCGGCATGGCTGAATACTTGAGCTCAAGTCCGGACAGCCACCTGTAATTCGACCCAAAACAACTCCACATATTTGTCGAAAAACAAATTTGTTGTGAAGCGTTGGGAGTTGATGGTCTGAGCACAGTCACTGATGACTGCACAAAAAAATACATCGCAATTGCTTTGGCTGTATTCCGGCTCTGACAGTGGGTGGGAAAGTGCTCTCCTTTTCCTGTACAGATCAGAGGTCACGAAAGGATCTCAGGGGTAGCTCTGCAATATCTACTTCTGTGGGCTGTTCTCCAGCACGAAGGGTTGTTCTGCTCTGCGTGAAATCCAAACGGTTACTTCATGCATACGATATTATCGGTTGTCTTGCAATCTTGTTTCCGTTTAGGTTGACACGCTCTACTGCCCATTCGGTACGCTGTTCGATTGTGTCTTTTAAGTTCATTGGCGCTTTGGGATTTGTTTAAATTCTTCCGCGATATGCAAAATCGAGTTGACGCATGATGATTGATGATGACGACCTTCTCGTGACATGATGTCGGCAGCGCAAAAAACCAAGAGCCTTCATTCCCTGGCAGCTTGCCGAGTGACAGCCTCACGATCCTCACCCTAATGCACCCTCAACGCTCACCGTCTCACCTCCCCCCACCTCCGCCACCCCCCCCCCCCCCCCGCCATCCTGCGGCAGACAACACCGCGGGCCTGGTGACGCGGAGGCACGGCTACCGGCGACGGGACGATGGGCCGCACCTCGTGCCGGTGGCGGTCAGCGACGGCGGGAGCCCATCGCTGACGGGCACGGGCACGCTGACGGTGCGCGTGTGCGCGTGCGACGCCGAGGGCGCCGTGCTGTCCTGCACGGCCGAGGCGCTCGCCCTCCCGGCCGGACTCAGCCCCAAGGCCCTGATCGCCATGCTGGCCTGCCTCCTGCTGCTGCTGAGTGAGTGCTGCTTCACGTGCCGCTCGTGCGCAGGAGCCCGCCTGCGGGGTCCAAGATGCAGAGCGCTTGATGCATCAACGCGAGATGCAGAACGCTACTTTCGGAATGCTGCATACCGAACACCGGGATACAGAAAACATTTCACGTCGGCTCCCTTTCATACAGCACCATGCTTGCTGACAGAAGTGAAGCTGTGAGTTGCCTTTGGCAGGTTAATGGGATTCTCATATGTGGAAGTACAACAAGTAGGTTTATAATCTATGGATAGAGCGTAGGAATTTAAATGTTTTTTTTTCCCCACATAAGAGTGGGGTTATTCCGGTACCCCCAGGTTCATCTCACATGCATACAAACAAACATACGCAAATAAACGTACACCTTCAGTGATGTTTGCCATGCATCACCAGCAGGACTCTCCTGAAGATAAGTCTTGAGATTCAGTTGATGTTTACACGCCCGCAAGCGAATAATCCATTATGTACATTAGTTGAATGCGTTCTGGCAATATGACCTCATTCTGAACGATCAATTACAACGACAATAATTTATAATTGCAATAATTCACCTAACATTTTTGTTTCATAATTCACCATTACTTTTTTTTCATAAGTTGTCATACCATTGATACGACGTGATAATTAATCTCATAAAACCCCTCAGATTAATAATACATTGATTCAGAGCCGTACATTTATATTTATACATTTTCTGGAAAACGCCGCTTGTAAAAAAAAATAACAGCCCTTGAGCTATGTCTATGACTCGAAATGAAATCATTTTAAATCACCTATGTGCATTAGGTGTGTTCACAAAATTAAACATTGATGCGGCGTTTCGTGGCAAGAATTAAATGACGTGCGGTATTGAAATGGTCTTCATATGCATCTGACTGTCACAAATGATACTTATACCCGGTCCCCATTTCACTCGAAAATATATTCATCCGGCCATCGCTGTGCATACGGTGCATCATGAGTAACCCTTTTAAAACACGATTTCCAAATTGCTCCAGCTGTTTTCATCCATTGATAACATCCTAGTGCGAGTGATCTTAAACAGTCTGCATTGTGCTGAGCATTGGTTCAGAAATGTTGAACCATGTCACCGACTGACACCGCCAACCCAGACAGAACCTCGACTTCACTTCACGCTCATCGACAAAATGCCAAAGAAACATTGTCAGGGATCTTTGTCGGGCAACCTTTTTTGTGCATTCGTGCCGTCAATGATTGGCCAAAAGCAACACTTTTTTCAGAGTAGTATTCAGGTCTACTCCGGGAAACGTGTTTCCTTGTTTCTGGAAATGTCAGAACATGGAGCTCACGGGATGAAACATTTTGCCTGGAAACGCGTTCAGTCCGCTACAGCCTTTGCATTGACGCGTCTGAGGTGCATGCATTTATTTCTATATATTTTACATTTTATTTTACATTTAGCACCTTTCACTTGTGAGTACGAATTAGCTTGAGCACTTTATGAGGCCATTGTCTCTTTTGTGTGGCCAAGCTCGGTCCTTGTAAAAAAGAAAATCGACACTGCTGAAACCACACCTTTACCGTGACCCAGTTCCACCTCTCAATTGTCAATCCCTGGCAGCTTAACCTCTTAATCGAATCAGGGGGCCTACCCGCACGCTTGCTCTCCGTAGCACGGACGCGGGAAGCGTGCGGTCCGTTGGAGGCCGTGCCGCCCTCGGCGGTTGCCTCAGATTTTGATGGCCGTTGCCAAAGTGCCCCCTTTGAGATTCTTTATATTCCTAACGCTCTGAGGTCGCCATCACAGTCCACGCGCTTTTGTGCCACGGCGATTCACGCAAAACTCCGGTAGTAGCCCTGGGCTTGCTCGGAGATAAAGCACCCCAGTGCCTGGCCACCAACAACAGCAAAAAATACAGAACAGAAATAAAATAAGGATCACGAAAGGAAAATGACTTGGCGGAGAAGGAGATTAAGGACGTTCGCGTGATATGTTACTCCGCTATCGTTTACGCGAAGCGACAGGCGTGCTCTGCTTTCAAAAGTTTCCAACGAAATCTTTTAAAAATGAAACGGCGCTGTGTGGCCCCGGATTGACGGCTGCGAGAGAAGGGGGGGTGGGATGTACGGCGGCGGAGTAGGATTAGTCGTGCTGCTGCTGTAATGGGGAACTAAATTAATACAATCGCAAGCGAAGGTAACTTACCTCGAGCTCATGTTGACACATCCTAAAACATGACCTTTGCCGGCGATGCTGCCCATTGAACTAAGCCTGTAGAGTGTTTAATGGATTTTGGCCTTGAATCTAAATGTTAATTCTTCACTTGCAAACATCCCCTGCACAGCCGTTGATCAATTCAACCATCAACATTTGACTTCAGTTTAATTGTAAATAATACAATAATAATCATAATACTTTACTGCTGTTTATCAAGCTTTTGATGAAGGTCTCCCCACACTGCGTGGTGCCGAGTTGGCCCTTGGGGTTGTTTGACCATACTTCACCATGCCGGCCAGTGCAGGTTAATGAAGGGGGGATTCCGCCAGGATCCATTCATAATCAACGTTTTTGGGTTTAGATCGCGTTTATTTATAAATGAGTCGTAACCCTCCACCACCCGACACGGCCAATCAGTAAAAATGTGTCACGTTGACAAAGACAAATAGTTCACTGCTTTAGCCCACCGGTGTGTTGAAGCGTGAAACCACAACATTTACAATTTGAGTACGACGTTTCGCTGGTAATTGCAACCAGCATCATCGGGCAATTCGCCAGAATGGTGAGGCTCTGCTGTGTCTCCCGTTCTTATATAGAGCAGCAGCAGGGTGACGTCATCATTAACTCATTAACTCATCAGGTGGTCGCGAAAGCCTACGTGTTAAACATCCATTCAGGTATCACTCAATGATCGCTGTGACCAGGAATCGGTGAGCGAACCACTGCAGGACAATACCTTCCTCCTCGGTGGATCAGATTATTATCGTCAATGTCCTTTTGTGCATTGTCAGCGAAAACATTGAAACAAACTCGAGGGTAGCATTTTAATGCGTACGCTTCACACGGCACAAAGTAATGACACTCGAGCATTTATCAGTATCGGGGTTGTGTCATATCAGGGTTATAAAGGGGCTGAAAGGTGAGTCACAGACGTCTGGAATAAATAGCCCTTGCGATCAATATTGACACTGCTATGAGGTATTCATATAGAGGTCAGGGGAAAAACACTAATGATACCGAGATGGGCATTCACTGCTGCTGGTAGCATGCTATTAAATTTCATAATGCACCAGGGTATGGGGCCTCTAAATAATGCATTGCGTATCAAGGAATTCTTGAAATCAGATTTTTTATACACTACCCCTGTATTTTTCTTTGGGATTTTGAGTTTGTTGGTAGGAGGGGATGTTGTGTTGTTGATGGATGGGGGTCACTGGTTTTTCTTGGGGTTTTTTTTTTTTTACAAATAAGGTCACTACTAAAAATCTGGGACCTTCATTTGTGAACAGGTAATGGAATGCTTCCGCACGCAGAGAATATGAACAGGATCCATTCTTTTTCCTCTGGATGAAATTGCTCCAATGCCAAACAAGTCATATTCTTTATATTAAATGTAGACCTGCACAGTTTTTATTTATATGTATGTATGTACTCTATGTATATAGTTATTTTGTGTTGGGCTTTGGCATATAGATGACCCTTTCAACTTCTAACCTTTCACCTTCTGTCTCAACTATCTCAAGGCAATGTGGCATTAATGAGAGTACTAATGCGAAGGATCGTGATGGCGTGGGGAGGCATGCATTCAGCAGTGGATAGACCATGGATTAATGATGTTGAGGCAAAGTACTGATGCCTTGGCTATTTCATTGTTTAATTTATCCTCAACTTGAACATTTCCAAACACCCCATGTTATGTCGGCAACATCTGCAATATTCGTGTTGTGCTCCAGAAGAATATAACATATTTGCTAATAATATATTTTCATCACCACTCTTAAATCATTTTACAAAATGTATTGCTCTTAAATAAGGACACAGGTAAACAAAGAAAATGTATTAAAAATATCAACTTGGATTTTTTTTTTTACAAGCAAGGCGCTGGTATTCCCTCCCGTGAAGTATATCATATGCCACCGTGAAAATAATTATTGACACGCACACTTTAATTTGGCCAAAGTTGCGACATGCGGCGATTACGCGGCCAATATTAAACTCAAATTAGCGTTGGTGAGAGAGTAAAAAAAAAAAGTTAATATCGCAAGCAGATTTTTCTTATATTTTCACAAGGTGGTTTCACACAGCGGTGTCAGTGCGAAAACTAAAACATCCCCCAGGCGTGCAGCTCAGTGGTAGAGCGAGCGGCTCGCAATCGGAAGGTGGTGAGATCACATCCCGGTTTTGGTGCGGGGGGGAGGGAGATTGCTTCTGCCCATCATCCCTCTGGGATGACTAAATTAAGCACCAATTGTGAGAAAGTCAACAGTGGTGGTATGAAGAGACTTGCCATAGGAACGTGGAACTTCCACCACTGACTCAGGGCTGTAAAGAAGAGATGAGCACTGCCAAAAAGCTCAATTGAGCGAGGGGTTAGTTTTTTTTTGGGGGGGTGGGGGGGGGCAGGTGGGTGTAAGTAGAGGCCATGTCTGCTTGTCAGAATGAAGACATCTTCCCAGACTGGTGTCCACGCGGCCCCGAGGGGAGCTGCCAGCATCGATACCAACGTCACCGGGGGGGGGGGGGGGGGGAATGTGCGATGAGCCTTTAGCTGTTGCAACAACGTCGCCGAATCCGTTCACAGTTTAAAGGGAGCCGATACCCAGCAGCGTTCTTTTTTCCATTCTTATTTTTTATTCTTAAACGGTCGCGTTACAGTTCAGGGCTTCACGCATGCCCCCCCCCCCCCGCCCCCCCCCCCCCCCCCCAGGCCAACGCTCTCCCTTGAAGGATTACCGTACTAGGTGAAGATGCGGCCCGGGGTGATGAGATGGTGGCGGTCGTCGCAACGCGGCGTGAGCGCCCGTCGCTAAAATTCTGCGGTGGCGTCGTACGCCGCGGCAGAATTTTAACCACGGAGGAGAGCTTGCTCCTTCTCGCCCCAATTAGGCGGGTGGCTGCTAAAGAGACTGAATTCCTACGCCACAAAGCCAGCCAGCCAGCCCAATGCAAAGGGTTAGATATTAAATAAATAACATGACATTTTTTGTCTAATTTTTTTTTTATACCACCTGAAGTGATTTATACGTAAATTGGATGAATGATAGTGATAAATAATTCATTGTATCTGTTCACACCTATTCCTATCTCTACATATATCTCACTCTCACTTGCTCATTTTCTGTTCTATTTCTTTCTTGAAACGTGCCTGACTGTGCGTGTGTGTGTCTCTGTGTCCGCCCTCCCACTGTCATCACCACCAACGTCATCATCACCACCACCAAAACCACCACAACCACCACTGTCGCCACCGCCGCCGCCGCAGTCATCGTGGTGCTGTGCGTCACGCTGCGCCGGCGCCGCAAGGAGCCGCTCATGGCCGAGTCGGAGGGCGACGTGCGCGAGACGGTGGTGAGCTACGACGACGAGGGCGGCGGAGAAGAGGACACCGAGGCCTTCGACATCGCGGCGCTCAAACGCTCCGAGAACGGCGACGCCAGCGGGCGGCGCGACGTCAAACCCGCCGAGCCTCAGCTGCCTCCCGGGGCGCGACGGTATGTGGGGGGGAGGGGGGGCACGTGCGGTCATCCGCGCGAGCATCGCGTGCAGCGTCGCCGTACTGTCGTCGGAAGTTCTTGTGCTCCTCGCGTCCTCGCGCCGCTCGACTTTGTCACTCCTAATTCCCGTCGTCTCTATTTTCTTTTTTGCCAAACTCGCATGAAACATTGGTCAATTGGAGAATCCTGCTAGTTCTAATCCGCTGCAGCATCGCCAGTGCTGGCTACTTTGCTTAATACACGTTTGGGCCTGTGTTGAGGTAAATCTGGTATAAAACATCGAAAGTGATGTGTAGGTGCTGTCATCATCATTGTCATCAGAATCATCACAAATATCATCATCTGTTACATTCCATGATGGCAGCATATTGTGCCTCTGTGTCTTGACCCACCTCGTATTCAAATCTTGACATTATTCATCCTCCTACAATCGTACAAAGACCAAGTGTGGGCTTATATGAGGAGGGGATCGTTAGGTGGTCAGGTGGCTGGTGGTTGGCCACGTGGTTCATGTTTGAGGTGTCCATTGAGCCTACTGGTTTCAAACTCAGAGTCCTGTGGTTGAACTACATTATTAAGTATAGCCAATGGTCTTAGCCCGGTCACCAACGACTACAGACATTTTTTCAAAATGTAAATTGGTTTTAAGTCTAGATTTGAAGCTTTCGTGACTGCAAGGATTCATACTCTTTTGGGTTTTTCGGTAAAGTCACGTAGGTAAAACAATTAATAAAATAAATGAAAACAACTAAATTAAATCACGACTTTAGCTAAAGTTATTTTGCTGTGCCTTTTTCACACCTGATGAGGGAGGCTTGTGTTGCCTCCGAAACGTCGTGGTTTAATTTAGTTTTCATTTATTTCATTTTATTAATTGTTTTACCTACGTGACTTTACCGAAAAAACCAAAGAGAATAAATTGGTTTTGTTCGCTGAACTCTAATGCTCATTCCAGCACTGAGAAGATAACCTTTTGGTTTGTTTCACGCGAAGATAAACAACGTTTTGCAGAGCATATAAATGGGAGACGTTCTGCCAGCCACGTTTTTTTAATATATAAATGTCCTTATCTTGTGACATTGTGCTGCCGATAGCACAATTGATATATAATTGGGGTGGAAGATAAATTAGGTCAATTACATTGCTGCCGCTTGATTGGTGAAGGTGGAAAGAATGAAACGTGAGTGCTTGTGGATAACTAGTCGGACAAAGTCACTGAAATACCCAAGGGAGCAAGATAAAGCTTTTCACGATTTGAGATTATGGTGATTAAATAGAAACATTTAAAAAGCAGTGGTTGTGAAAATTATATTACAAGCATGAAATCATATTAGCACCTTGTCGAACACGGGTTAATTGTAATCTTAATGGACTATTAGGCAAGATTTAAAAATCACCAAGTCATCACTTTTACAAATACTCCTGGGAAGGTGGTCTGGGCCGGAGATAATGTGAGCCATTGTGGACATTTAAAATTGAAACTGTAACCTCTTATGTTAAATAGAAGTCCATGTGGAAATATTGCGTGCCGTTGCCAACAGGGCATGGGACGATGGGTCGTTTCGCTGATTCAAATCTTGACAGACTCGTTGAATTTGTTCGCATGCAAATCAATTATTTGCAAGTAAAGTAAAAATTTTTATTAATGAAATGCTGATGCTACCTTTTTTTGCTCATTGAGAAAACTAAAAAGTGCAAAGTGTACGTGTGACATTGAGGCATCACACAGATGAGATGGTAAACACTGGACAGATTGGTTATCTTAAACGTAATATGTGTTTTAAAGTAAGGTTTATTAAAAACAGAAGTGAATACGCAAAGGAGAGAAATGTTAGGGGTCAATTGATTGGGGATCACAAGACATCTGGACCATCCTGTACAAACACAGGGGGACGGTTGGTTCAAAGGTCAGAGACCTGATACGACTGAGATCCTGGACTCATTCTGTGGTTCAACCGGGTTCTCAACTGGAGTGAATTCTCAAGTGGGTGGGGTAAGAGTGGTGTTTGGTGAACAATTGCATGTTGTGTATGTATGTACTTATTTTGCACTGGATGTAGCCAACCATAGTAATCAGAAGTGCAGGGGAAGGACAACAAACTATACACAATAAGCAGTTATGACGGAATGAGTTTTCACTCGAGATTTAAAAGTGCATAGCTCCAGTGGCTTCCTAATATCGGAAGGAAGAACGTTCCAGACGGCCGTAGAAGTGCATCTGAAAGCGCGCGATGCAGTGACCGTCTTTGTGCAATGGCCAGCCAAAACGTCACTGTTGCGAGGATGGCCAGAGTTGACGTGATGGTTTATGCTCCTTGACAAGGTGTTGTGGTTCAGCAAGGTATTGTGGTTCATTTATGTGTGTAATGTGTGACTTTATAATGTATTCGTTTGGCAACTGGAAGCCAATGCAGCTCAGCAGTCCGTCATTGCTCACCCAATTACATTCCACTCTAACAATTGCCCATTGTGTGCCTAAAGGCATGATGGATAATTTAAAAACTAAAAAAATTGCCCGCAACACCCCCAAACATTTCCATCCGTAGATCCTCCACATGAAATCGTCATGGTGTGCTCTTTATATATATATGGGACGTTTCATCTCTGCGAACTCTCGTTGGAGATATCGATAAAACACTTGAAGTCACTTGTGTGGGGCATGTACGCCCAACACGATTCACGGAATCCGGCCTGAAGCGTGGCAGAGAAGAGGACCGGTCGGGAGCCAGAGCGGCGCAGCAGGGAGCTGCTGGGGAGCAGGCGTAGGAGAGAGTGGAGGGGGGGGGCAGGACCCGGTGTAAGGGGGAGGCGGTGGTGATGCCCACATTTTGGAGCTACAATCGAACGATTTCAACTATGCAGAGCCGCAACAGTTGTGATGGAAAATCTACCTACTTGGCAGATTTTTACTTTGTCAAGTCAAACACATTACAAAAACCTCACTTGCAAAATTAAGTTTTCATTCATTAAACAAATTAAATGATAATGGTCTAAATACATCATATCTATAATTAAAACTGCGGCTTTATCAACCATGTGTATAGGTTTTTTTATTTAATTTGAACCTTTATTGTTTATATTTCAATTCAAGATCTGAGCATGTCCGTCCGGTGCTTGCCAAGCTGCATTGGCTTCCTGTTGCCAAACAAATTCTTTATAAGGACGCACCCATTACACACAAATTGCTTGCCACAGATGAACCACAATAACTTGATAATCTCGTCAAGGAGAGTAAACCATCACGCGAGCTCCGGTCATCCTCTCAGCGGATTTTGTCCGGCCATCAAACAAAGACGGTCACCGCACCCACACAGATGTGCTTCGGCGGCCGTCTGGAATGCCCTTGCTTCTAACGTGAGCAAGCCACTGGGGCTGTGCACTTTCAAATCTAGATTGAAAACTCATTTATTCCGAATACATTGTTGTGTTTCGTTTATTGTCCTTCCCCTGCACCTCCCATTAGCACGGTTGGCTACGTATGGTGCGAAAGAAGTTCAACATGCATGCATACAATTCGGTATCTGTTTAATTGTATGGTGCACGTGCCTTTGTCCTACTTTGGTTTATTCCGTGTGTGTACGAGGCCTCCACTGTCGGCTACTTTTTAACTCTCAGTTCGAAAGTGGAACAACAGCTAAACGAACCGAACTTTTTGAAAAGTACTTTTAACGGTAATATTATGATGATGATAATAAAAAAAATGTGTCGTTAAATGTGAACGATTCAGAAGATGATTAAAAAAGACGTAATTCGGGTATCCATCAATCGGGGTTCCTCGTGAACAATTAAAACCAAGCAATATAACTCAGGTCATGCCCTCTCAAAAAACTAAACTGGCATTTTGGAAAGGGTATTTGTTTTTTGCAGATTTTTGGTGGATTCATCATACTCGCTCTAGTATTGCTTCCCTAATTACGCCCAGAATGACGATCTTTCACCAAAGCCACAGCAGTGCCGTTTATGTGTTTTATTATGTTGTATTAGTTTAATGTATGAGTTCCATTCTCTCTTGCCTGGGTGGCACGCAGGGTGTGGGATGACCGCATCAGCCCCGGGTTCGTGCTCGGCGTGGCCGGAGCTCCGTCTTCCGGCTCGGGATCTGGAGGCATCGCCAGTGGGGCTGGCGGCGACATGGGCGGCTTCCTGCTCGACATGCTGCGCAGGGCCGACGGCGACCCGCAGGCACCGCCCTACGACTCCCTGCAGGCCTTTGCCTACGAAGGCCAGGGCTCTCTGGCCGGCTCGCTCTCCTCGCTCGAGTCGCGCGCCTCTTCCTCGGGCGCCGGGGCCGACCCGGACGCCGACCACTGCTACGACTACTTGGCCAACTGGGGGCCTCGCTTCGGCAAGCTCGCCGGCCTGTACGCCACGGTCGAGGGCAAGGCCGAGGATTGACGGCGCCGCCGCAGAAGACGCCATCGCGGTGCGAACCGGCCGCCGCCGGTCCGTGGAGGTTTTTTTGGTGCCAGGTGGAAAAAGCGCGTCGCTGCTCGCGTTTTAGCACCGTTGTGTTTCAGCGCTGGATACTGTACCGATTTGTATTAAAACGAGAGGGGAAAAATGGACGCAAAAAAAATACAAGAACAATGGACGGAAACGTCTGAAAAATACTGAAGATAAAAAAAAAATGAGAAAAAGTAACAAAGTAATAATTCTTGAAGAAAAACGTACGGTTTGTATTTTATCTTTTAGGTTTCGGAAGTGCAGTGAGCATTTACTCATTTAAATTCGGGAAGTGAAGTGACAGTATTTGAAACTACTGCATTTGGAGGGTGAACAGTTGCTGCATTTTGCAAGTTAACGATCCAGCATATGAGGCCAAGAAGATTCGACATTTCCCACCCAAGTGAGAAGAAGAAAATTGTGAAACGGCTGGAAGAACGATGAGGAAACCTCTTTAGATAGTCACCGGGAGACAACCCACCACGGAGGGAACGGCAGAAGAGTAATCTGAACTAGCGGATGGAAAAATAAAATGAGGCATGTATGTATTTACAAAATGGGGAACCAGGTGTAGTGAACCACGAAAAGTTTTACCAATGCTGAAATTAACGTGAGGACTCCCATGGAGTTAATTTTGAATCCGAGAGTTGGAGCAAGTTTGAGCGACTGTTCACTAAAGGACCCTTTGTAATTAGTTTGTGGGATTGATGGTCCTCATATATTCATGTTTTGAATACAATGTAGGTGAACATTAAAAGGAAAATGCCTGTAGTTCTTGCTCAAAAAACTTTATTTTTTATTTTAGCTTCTTTTTTCATGTTTAACTGACTACCCTTGTACAATTTGAATGTTCTAAGAAACGCCCTGACTTCTTGGAAACGAAAACAAGATTTGGATCTGTAGCTCAGACTTTCACTACCTGCGGGGTGGAAGACGAACATTACCTTGTATTGGCCGATCTAAAAAAAAAGACCTTAGTCAAAGGGAAATTAATGAAAGTCAAATGCTTGCATTATTCCAGGTGTGAGTGAGCTTAGCATTTTCCCAGTTAAAAGTATGAATTGCATGTTTTACAATCACACGTACTCTGTGCCTCAGCGCACAAGGCCACCGCTGTATCTGTGTCGTCATATTTTAGACATTTACGTTTTTAGCATTGCAGTATTATTATTGCGACATTATTACCACATGTCACCTTGGAGCAGTTTGGTCAATGCGATTCCGGCGTTCATTGAGAAATTGGAAATTTGGTTAAAAGGGGTTCCAGACATGGAAAGCAGTCGAGGAACAGACATTTCGGCAGGCACGGCATACAATGCCCTATTCATGTGAACAATAACGGCATAAGCACTATGATGATGATAATAATAATAATAATGCATTGTTGTCATTATTTTGTGTTGTTTCCTTTTTTTACATTCATAATATGTGTGAAGCCTGATATTATGTATGCGTCTCGTTCTATCGCTGACCTCTCGAACACAATCGTGTCTTCACTTTTGTGCAGACAAGTCACTGCATCTTTTAGTCTTTATGAAAATGTAACATGTTTTTTTTACTTAGGTGCATACTTATCAATAGCTATCCTAATGTAGAGTGTATTACCTTAAGGACCTTTTTCAAATGTTTAATATTAAAAACGTATTTATGATTGCATATTGTCATCATGTTAAAGCCATAACCATGATTTGTGCCTCCGCTAAACTTTTAAGAACACCTAATTAGGGCTGGACGGTTCATCAACTTGTCAATTGTTCATGGTCGCGAGTCATTCTCCACGTTGTTGTTGTTTGGACGATGGAACTTGCAGCCGTTGCGCCCTCCACCTTGTGAGACGGGTGACACGGGAGCAAAGTTAGCGGACCGGTAGAGCGTTGAGCGTTTTGTTTTCTTTCGACCATGACACTAGAGACCGAAGCGCCAGCCCTTTTCACGCATAGCAAGTTTCCATTGTGACAGTGTGGTTACCGCAGAGGGGGCGGGGGAGCAGACAAGCCTGTCCGTCCCAGTGTGACGTGAATACGCCTCCCGGGAGAGTGCAGCATGGTGGCAGAGACTGCACAAAAACAGCTGAAATGAAGTGGGTCAAAAAAAATGTACGACAAAAATCTTAATTGGCATGGAGCTAAGGCGTCACGGTTTCTGGGCCACTTCCTGAACATTGAGATCCGGGAGCTCTCAACGGACGGAAAGCCACAGCCATGCAACTGGCGGAGCTGCCATGGGTATGCATCGGCGCTCTATGCTTGCACGAGCTGCCAGTAATGCCCGCTAGCGTTACGTCGGGGCGGGCGAGGATAAGCCTGCTAATTGGAATCGGAGGGAGTTGTACTCCTCGTCCAGCCTACTTGCGCTTGGGTGGAGGAGGTGGGGTGGGCATGCAGTTTTAGGGGGGCAAAAGGCGAGGCTTGCTTCGCGACCCTCGCCGGGAAATATGCCGCGCCAAAAACGGTGTGCCAACCAGCCAGATTCGTGCCCGATCTTGGCCCCCCCCCAGTGCCAACCCGTGTGACCGTGATGTCACCGTGGTTGGCGTCCATGTCGAGCCAATGCTAGGTCGTGCCACAGAGGGTTAAAAAAAACCTTTTTGGAATATTGATGTTTGAAATATTGACGATGATGGAATATTGATGTGTGCAGACCGTAGGTTTGAGCCGCGTGGTACCGACGAGATGAATAGCAACGTGTTCGCTGGAGCGCTCCGGTGAGTTCTCGGGCTTCACCGCGTGTTGCTTGGCACGGTCTCCCGGCGTGGAGCGAACAAGGGACAAACTGTGCCGCTCAACGTGCAGTGCAACCCAAAAACCGGTCGTGCAGCTGAGCAGCGCAACAGAGAAAACCCTGCACGGCAGCAGCAGTAGCGTGTGCTGTGTGCATGAGCAATGTTGGTTCATGATGGACTTGAAAGACTAAACACTGTCCAACATCATGAAGAGAGAAAGAATCCTGTTTTTTTTTTTGCAACATCCTCCCAACAACAAAAAGGCTGTTCTCCCCGCCCCCCCCTACAAGTGTTTCAGCCTTCCCACACTTAATATTTCACGTGGGGTATTAACCTCAGTGCCCCAATTAAATCACCGCTATAGTGCAGCACCACCGACGGGTTTGGCGAAGTTTTATCTGTATGTCTAAATCATTCAAGAAAAACACGAGTTGTTTTTTTTCTCTCTCTCCACTGGGGGCTGGACATCCCTGTAAGCAACATATGCATCTTAGTGGATCTATCCACAATAAATATGCTTTAAATGAATAAAGCAAGATGTTTAGTGTTTTCCTATCATTCCACCTACAAAGGAGTACCAAACAAATGTGTAATCACATTGTGTGCTGTTTCTAATTGCAACGCCTTGCATGGGCTAATTGGGGCGCCACGGTGTTTTGTAAAAGTTGCTTTAATTTGCTGTTTTAAGTGCGGCCGTGTGGCTTGTGGGACTACCCATTTCACCATCACGACTGGGCTAGAAGCTCTGCTTTGCCTGAGCCTTGGGGTGGATTTGTAACGCAACAAAATTGCACGCAGCTCTTAGTCCGCAAAGAAACCAGGGCTCGGGGGTTCACAGTAGAGTTTGTAAGGCACGCAAAAAAAGTAACGACACCACAAGGGACGAACGTAACGTGAAGATCGCATGACGGCAGGCAACGATTTGGCTGAATGCAAGAACAGCATCTTAATACATTTTGATTTAAAGCTTTCGTGACTGCAGGGATTCATATTATTGGTTCTTTCGGTAAAGTCACGTAAAAGAGAAATAAAAAATATATAAAACAATTAAAATTCTCACGACGTTTTGACTGCAACACAAGCAATCATCATCTGGTGTGAAATCACAGCGAGAATTTTTTTTCCAAATTTCTTGATGATGATTGCTTGTGTTGCAGTCGAAACGTCGTGAGAATTTTAATTGTTTTATATTTTTATTTTTTTATTATTTCCCTTCTACGTGACTTTACCGAAAGAACAAAGAATAGCATATTCATAGTTGAGACTCCGTGTCCCCCCACCCCCTCCTGTATGATTGCCTACGAGTCTGTTGAACGGATCACATTCATTTGAAGCGTTGATTCCTTGAAACTTAGCGGCACCCCCTGCGTGTTCCCGCACACATGGCCCTTGTACGTGCGCGCGAATTGCACACCCACGTTGATCGTTGTAGGGAAGCGAGTGTGCACCCATCATGGCCCTCAGCCCACATCCCAGTGATCGTGTAGAAACGACGACGAAGAAGCAGAAGAACCTATAACGCTGTGGCTCAACTTCAATGCGGTGCTCTCGTCTGGGAGGATGTTGGGTGACGCAGGTAGCGTCACGGCTCGATTCCACTGGGCCAGTGGAGACTCCACACTGGCCGGCCACATTGGGCAGGAGGAGTTTGACAATTTGCCGCAGTGGTAAGAGGCAAAAGGCACTGGGGCCTGCCCTCCCGGTGCACTGATCTGAAAACCCCGGGCCACCCCAAAAACAATGCACGATAGCGGGCATCGAGGCGGCAGCGGTGCTGCGTTTCCTTGGCGGCGTTTGCCGGTCCAGCCCTGTGCTGCTCGTCGCCATTTGGTTCTGTATCGCGGTCGCAATGCTGCTACCGTGCATTGACAGCCGACGTCGTGACGCCACGGAGCCGAGGGCTGATTTCAACGAGACGAGTGTTGATAAACACAAATAAATACGGTATCAGATGTTTCTGTGCGCTTCGCGATTTAGTTACCCATTGCCGGGTGCTTGCCCTATTGACAGCGTGAGAGAGAGAAAGGACGTGCCCATCATTTTCTCAGCAGTTGTCTGCGTTGCAATTAAATCCAGATGATCGCGACTTTTGCTGTAGCAAAAGAAAATGGAGAAACAACCTCAGCTTGAACTGCATTCGGCACTGCGCTTTCGAATCGGCCGTTGGTCACGTCAGGTTTTCTGCGTTAAATCTTGATTTGACGCTTTCGTGACTGCAGTAATCCATACTCTTTGGTTCTTTCGGTAAAGTCAGTAGGTATAAAAATAATAGATCACGACTTGCTGTGATTGTCCCACCTGGTGACAATCGCTTGTGTTGCGATCGAAACGTCGTGATCTATTCTTTTTCTGCGTTCAGTTTTCGGTGGCTCGCGTCCGTGCCCCCCCCCCGCCTCCCGCCCACTCCCCGAAGCTTTCCTGCTTTGTGCACGAGCGTATGGGCAGGCACGCATTGTTACGAGCACGCCGGAGCTTTTGACGAAATGAGTAGTGAAAAGAGGAAAAATTTGGGAGAAAATAAATTGACCTGTCAAACTAAACCTTGTGCTCACTGCTGGGCGAGGCTGAGCAAGCGGTATTAACTGGGGGTGATGGAGCATCTTGGGAGTGATGGGAAGTGATGGGACGTCTTGGGAGTGATGGAGTATCTTGGGAGTGATGGGAAGTGATGGGACGTCTTGGGAGTGATGGGAAGTGATGGGACGTCTTGGGAGTGATGGGAGTGATTGGGACATTTAGGGAGTGGTGGGAGTTGTGGGGCATCTTGGGGCGTCTTGTGTGCTTTGTGCATCTCCTTCGTGCAGCGCAACACTGCTTAGTGCATGCCGAGCGATGCCACCTACATACGGGGAAAATTTCGAAGACAAGAAACCGACAGCTCTGTGTACATTACACGGTTTTTCATTACATTTGAAAAAAAAGTACATGGTTTTGCATTGGGTGAGGCTGTAGTTCAGTGTTCTAATATATAGTGGAATTCAATTTAACTTTGAGAGTAGTTTTCAGGGCACATAGTGCATGTGTATTGAATTTACAAAAGAGAAAATGCTGTTTACTGCTTAGGGGCTCGAGTTATTTTGTTCATCTGAGCGGGGGAGATTCATTGGGGAGGGTGGTGGGAGGGTTGCGGGGGAGGTGGGGGGTGCGGCAAGGGCACTGAACCAATGATTCCAGGGGGAAATCGGAGATGAGATTGGGAAGGGGAGCAAAGCGAGGAGTGGCGTTGGGGTCGTAAAAAAAAATATATAAAGAAATAAAAAAACACCAGCAGGGAATCGGCACGTGAAATAAATACATTTTTAATAAAGCAGGCAAAGTGAGAATAATAACGGTGTGCAGTCATAATAAAATAAAGAAACCCCAAACAAAACAAGTGGATGATCAAAAAGTAGGAAGCTTTCATGTATCCAGTTTGATTTAAATCCAAAACATCACGGCCAAGGAGTCTGGCGAATGTGTTTGGAGCCAAAGAAACCACTGAACGCCCATCACAATCACACGGGAGAATGGACGATCAGTCCCCGCTGCGGTAAATGGAAGGGTAGGTACATCATTTACCGTGGTCAGCTGGTGCTGTGGAAACCACTATTTTAGTTTTTTTTCTCTCTTTCTTTTTTCGTTGTTTTTTTTGTAATAATATCGATACCTGTGATTATTTATACACTCAAATAAAAAAGCTGCATTTGCACCAAAAAAAACATTTTCATGGAGCGTACTTTTGATTTCGTTGCAGCCATGCTTTTGTCTAATATGCTGTTTGTGTATTTTTTAAGCCATGCTTATTTACATACACGTGTTCAACTTAATGCACGTTCCCAGTGTCGCCTTGCGTATCCGTGACGGCGAGGCAAGTGTGTGCGCGCGTGTGTGTTTATACATTTCATGGGGAGCGGTTAGCACGCTGCGCTTTGAACTCGCCCGCCAAAGTTCAATTCTCGCTTACGGCCAACACCAGCGACGATTATCTGAACCAGTCCAGGGCCTCCTCTTGGTCGACTGAGTCTCAAATTAGTAGCTGGAGTGGTGTGTAAACATCAACACGAGGGAGACAAAGGCGGCCGGGTGTGGTGCTAGCCACCCACCCCTTTCGCGTGGCGTGCTGATCTTGGCACGTGCTAGCTAACAGCAATTTCCACAAAAGCCCGCTCTGTCTTTCGATTTAAAGCTTTCGTGACTGCAGGGATTCATCTTCTTGGTTCTTTCGGTAAAGTCACGTAGAAGGGAAATAATAAAAGAATAAAAATAAAACATGATAAAATACAATTCTCACGACGTTTCGGCCACAACGCAAGCAGCCGTGATGAACCTGTTCTTCACCTGAGGACGGCTGCTTGCGTTGTGGCCGAAACGTCGTGAGAATTGTATTTTATTATGTTTTATTTTTATTATTTTATTATTTCCCTTCTACGTGACTTTACCGAAAGAACCAAGAAGATCTCTGTCTTGTTTATGCATTAACCATGAGCATTCAGGACACTATCCTGCATTTGTCTGTCCACGCGATTTAGGAATCCCATTGAGTACGTGAACATCCCAATGAAGCCTATGTAACATTCCCCCTGTGATGCGAAGGAAGCTTAAGGATACCTGCAATTATGGTTTACAGTACTCAAATTGTAAATGTTGTGGCTTCAACACACCGGTGGGCTAAAGCAGTGAACTATTTGTCTTTGTCAACGTGACACATTTTTACTGATTGGCCGTGTCGGGTGGTGGAGGGTTACGACACATTTATAAATAAACGCGATCTAAACCCAAAAAAAACGTTAATTATGATTTACATGTTAATACGTTTGTATTCAAGTGAGAAAGTTTCAACAAGTGCATATCACCTCCTGTGATGGTGGATGATGAGAAGCACGAATGCTCATGGGTAGAGGACTGAAGAAACGAGCGTGAGCGGTGCCACCGGACACGTGGAGAGATGCAGGCTCGGGATCGCACTTGAGGCGGGACAAAGACAGGAGCCACGTGGGGTTAGAGGAACACGCACACGGGGTTTAAACAGGGGCGGTTTCTTCATTATGGCGATTGGGCGACGCACCACCAATGTCATTCAACCACAGAGTCACGCTAGCCGTCACTGTCAGCCTCTGGATATAGTCCAATCAGCGTCATGTCACGTTCTGTGGAGTACCGCCTCTTTTTGGGCGATTTCCCTCCAGCTGAGAATCGCCCCGAGTGGCCCCATAGACTTACATTCAAAGATGTTTTTTTTCGAACGGGGGGCGCTGCAATGCATTCTCTATGGCTTCCGGGAGGGCTCGCCCTAACGTGCTTACGTCATCATACGTGCTTACGTCATCATACGTAAGCACGTTTCATCCAAAAATATAATTTGTTGCCACCTAGTGGAATCTTTAATAAAATAAACTTGAGTGGTTTGTTTTAATAGTGAGTATAGAAACAAACAAGATGTATTGTAAGAGTCACTTTATTTTTCATTAATATTAAAGAAGTGACGTTGCCTTTACATGCTTAAGCTGTTAATTTATGCATTGCATGGGTGGACCTTATCCTTATCAATCATCCAGACATATGCCCCCCCTGAGAGATTTTGCAGGAGCCACCACTGGGTTTAAAGGCGTCACGTTTAACTTGAGAAGAAATCAGCGCACTTGGGGCAGAAACACGGCCCGCGACAAACTTTATTCATTGGCTGTGTGGGATGGTGGCGGGTTTAACGACGCTATATATTTACGCGATCTAAACCAAAAAAAAACCTGTGCTATGGATGATTTTGCTCGCGAAAGCCGACGCGTTAAAAGGGGGATGCATGGTTGGACGAGAGAATAATTGCAGAATGCAAGCCAAATGAGGGAATGAGATGGAGCGAATGAAATCAACTTATTCCCAGATGCCAGGTGGATTGTTACATCGCAGAAACAGGAGAGAGGGTGGCGGCCTTCATCCAGCAGTGGATTGACCGTGCCGGATACTAATGAGGAATATATCAAAGTCTGTTTCTGTCACTATTAAATCATTTACTGGTCCGTGATGTCGTTGCCCGAATGGAGCGATGTTTGCCAGCAGAATTTGTTTAAACAAAGGTACACTCTTAAGCAGGCTTATGGAGAATGTGTTTACGTTTGGGTCACATCAGACCCTGTTCTGTGTATTTAATACTCAGTGGGAAGCCCGCCGAGGTGCAAAAGTCACACATTTCTTCAAATTAGTTTATTCACAATTATATGAATTTGAAACAAATTGTTGCACCAAAATAATAAAAAATATACAACAATACATTAGGTGAGGGACGCTGCCGTGGTGTGGTGGTTGGCACACCGCACTCACAGTGGCCGGTATTTACAGTATGTTGAACTTTTTTCCCACCGTACCTAACCAACCGTGCTCATTGGAGGTGCGGGGGTGGACAAGAAAACTAAACACAAACATCCGTTTTTAAAGAATTGAGTTTACAATTGAGATTTTAAAAGTGCACCGCTCCAAGTAACTTCCTCACAATCGGAACACCAGCAGCGGCGTTGAGCAAGCAATTGCAGGGCCCAACACCTTTTACCACGGTAACGAGCGCAATTATGTTTAAAAGTAGGGCCGTGAAGCAAGCGCGAATGAGTGCGCGCGAGTGTCAGTTTGACATTTGCGTTGTGACGGGGGGCAGAGTGGCACAGCGTGCACGTGGGCGACGGTGACGTCTCCACGTGTTGTGGCAGAAGGGGGCGCGTGCATTCGCAGGCGTGAGTTTGCGAACCTGGTTACGGAAAACCAGGGGCGTCATAGTGGCTATGAGATGTTAACTCCCTCGCCTGGTATGCGGGAGGTCGTGGGTTCGATTCCGACCCTGACGCCTGCTGTATATTTGGAATTTGCGTGTCCTTAGGTTTTTTTCCTCCACAATTAGAAACGTGCGTTTATTGTATTTGGCCGCTATAAATGTCCTCACAATTAGACACTTCGTGGAGCCGTAATTTGTGGCCAAGTCGCTTCTGACAAAAGAGCTCCACGTAGCTCAGTTGGCCTTATCTGGTAAAATAACAAACAAATAAATGTATATACAGTACAGTATATAGTTTTTACGCTTACGTGTGGTATAATTTTGAAACGTAACACGTTTCACGCATATCTCCATTGTAAATGGTAGAATGGAATAAGCACCGCTTTTCGCCAATTAGCCGAATGATCGGGTATATGGGTAATTTATGTTCCTTTAATTTTTACCTCGTTTGCTTCAGCCACATAAAAGCTTCCAAATGACAGCACATTCATTGAAATGCGTGGAGCAGTCTCCGGGGTAATTCTCCAGACAAACACATACAGATTGGCTACTTATTATGTCGGATGCCAACAATCTATGACAGCGCATGATACATTTTGCAAGGTGTTCCCGTCCTGCTCTGAACGGGCCGCATTGTACTCGTGGAGTGTTCTCGCCGATAACACACCAGTAAACCCTGCAGTATTTGTTTAACGTGCCTGACGCGACTGATGAGACGAAAAACTGCTCCGGACTTTTTATTGTTCAAACGAACGCTCCTCCTGCTGCTGCTGCTGCTACTGCAAAACTTAAAAGATTGGTTCAGAAAGCGCACAGACAGCAAGACCATCACCGACCCTTGTCTATTAAGCCAGTGTCCACATTCCACCCACGATAGCGCCTAATATATTTTGTTTATTTATTTTTCATGAGCCCCGTCATATATTTTTTATGTGTTTCATGAGAGCAACCTTCCTTACAGCCTCCCACTCAGCCCCACTCCAAACTTTCAAATCAAATATAATGGGGAAACTCGGGAGAATGAAAAAAGATGCGGGCGTTAATATTTCACGACGACGGAGAAGGGGTGGACGTAATCAAAACAGGTGTTTTGATTACCTCCACTACCTCCTGCCCCTTACCTTATGAATGCATTGTACTTTTCTACATTTATATGAGCGGTTGGTTTAAACGACGCTATTTCCATTGCGGTCAACTTTCTTTTTTGGCCTGAAAACTGCTCGCCAAACATTGGACTCATTTTCAATGGCATTTTCGAATTGGAAAACATTGTTGGCAAGGTACAGAATAATAAACAATGACGACATTCAACACATTTATCAATAACACTGTGGCCTTAAAAAATTATATAACAAAAATCTAATGGATGTATCGAGCAATGGCCCCACTTCGCAGAGAACAATTAGGCCGTGTTTGTGCGCTGATTTGTACCCAAACAAATCAGGTTATTATAGCGGTCTTTTTTCATTGTTATTTGAAATAAACACAGTGGCATCAGATGCCAGCGCGTGGTGCGTGGTACGGCCATTGTCAATTGCATCAGAGCGCACAAATGTCAGATACATTCTTTCATATGACAAATAACATAATTGTTGTTGTGACAAATGTGACATCCCTCATCCAAGAAAAAAGACTTGACCCAGACGAGACATTGTCGCGTTTAACTCTCACGCGCACATGCATGGCCCTTTTGTCAATCCACTGCTGGATGAAAGCCTCCACCGCGCCGTGTGGGTCATGGCGGTTGTTCGACCGTACTTCAAAACACTGGGCGGTGTGCAGGTAGGTGAAGGCAGACAGGGAACGTATCGTAGTAATAGGTTTTTACCCTTTAAACTGGTACAAAACTGACACCTTTATACAAGGCATCATGTTTGCAATAATCACAACACAAGCATCAAAATACAAACAAAAATCAACAACTCTGATAATGATATGCACTGTCCTTGAAGTTGATTGGTCCACACCCGAGACAGCTTTTCTTAGAGCCTAGTCTCCATTGGTGTTGGACCAGAAGACGCCAAAAGGCGTACAACTCAAAAACAGCGCACTATCAGAGTTTTGAGAGCTCGGGTTAAGCATTTACACTATGAGACCTCCTTTACCAGTGGCAAAATATATTAGTAGGTTTTTACCCTTTAAACTGGTACAAAACTGACACCTTCATACAAGGCATCATGTTTTCAATAACCACAGCACAAGCAGTCAAAATGCAAACAAAAATAAACAACTCTGATAATGATATGCACTGTCCTTGAAGTTGATTGGTCCACACCCGAGACAGCTTTTCTTAGAGCCTAGTCTCCATTGGTGTTGGACCAGAAGAGCTTATCGTCAAGGAGCATAGACCATCATGCGAACTCCGGTCATTCTCGCAGCTGATTTGGCTGGCCATCGACGGTCACCGCATCACGCGCTTTCAGATGCGCTTCTGCGACCGCATGGAACGCTCTTCCTTCTGATATTAGGAAGCCACAGGAGCTCAGCACTTTCAGATATAGACTGCAAACTCACTTCTTTGGAACTGCTTTTTGTGTTTAGTTTGTTGTCTTTCATCCGCACCTCCGATAAGCACGGTTAGCTACGTACGGTGCGAAAGAAGATCAATATATATACGTAAAAAAAGCTCTTTTCGATTCTTGCCTATGACAATATGTTCAAGAGCTAAATAGCAATGTCGAGGTCTGCTAGCCATGACGAGAGGGCTTTAGCAGAAAGTGTAGTTTGCGACTCCTCCGTTGACAGCGTAGGCTGAAGGTATCCCTCGATTAACGAAGATTTGGTTTTAGCAGAATTCGCGTTACCATCCGCGACAGCGTCACGGTGTCCATACAGTGCAACAGTGACGCCTCCCACGTCACCTGTCCAGTCATTCCAACATGCAGCAGATCTTTACCGAAAAAAACAAAGAGTATGAATCCTTGCAATCACGAAAGCTTCAAATCTAGAATTAATGCAGCAGATTGTTTAGTGGATTCCTTCAAAAAAGTGTAATTTTGTTTTAAATTTATTATTAGTCAATCGTTTTAATATTTATGTTCTGTATTATTATTATTATTTCTGTACTGTGAAAAGTGATATAGTTATAAATGTTAATGTTCGGAGTAAAGTTGTGATGACTGTAATTTAATGGGGAAAAGCGATTCCAATTTACGAAATTTAGTTTTACGTTTTTGGATTGCATGGCCACATTCCCACTGTGGCTTGTCTTTCCTTTTTGATTCATGAAGGAGACGTGCGCATTGGCCTGTTGATATTTAATGCGTTTGATTGGTTACGTCATCAGTGTCTTCGATGAATGTCAAGGACAGGAGCTGCGGTGTCCGGGTCTCGATTGAGGTGTTTATTCTGTACGTCTGCATTGTTCCACTCTGTTCATATCTGGGTGAGGTTATAAGATTGTTAACAGCGCGATCCCAGGAGACGGATCTGGACTTGAGTCGGTGGCGAGGTACATTGCTGAGATATTGGTTCATGAGAAGGTTGTCTTTGGCAAGAAAACCTGTAAACTCCCTTGCAGTTGTCATGCCAGACCCAGGAGCCAAGGGATTGCTGTAGGTTTCAGCATTCACGTCATGCGGGCATTGATTCATTTCATTGTGCATGTAACAGTATGTTGTACGAGCTCCCAGACCAGAATGGAGTGCAATACTCCGCCACTGAGCAAATCAGTGATAAGGTGGCGGGTTGGAGCACATCAACTCAGGCAGCGGTCCCCAACCTTTCTGGCACGGACCGGGGGGGGGGGGTTAATCATTGGGTCTTTCCCCCTTTTCAAAGAAGCTCTCCAGCGACGTTTGTTTTTTACTCATTTTGCCCAGGGGGTTAGCAGCTTGTGGGCTCACCAAAACTGTGACAAGTGCGCAGTGCGGGAAAGAGGCGCGGACGGAGGTGGTAAATAATAAAATAATTGGGGCGGCCCACTCGCGGACTCACCGCTCTCACCTCCTGCTGCTGTGCGGACCGGTTCCTAACAGGCCCATGGACCGATACCGGTCCACGGCCCGGGGGTTGGGGACCTCCTGAACTAAGGCATGCTCGGCCATTATTTCAAGTTTCTGTAGCAGGGCGATTCTTCATTTTTTTGGTTCACAGATCTGTTTTTTCGTGGGGTTTCAAGCTCAGGCGTCTATGCATGACAACTCGTAGACATCTTGGAGTGGGTTCACTGGGCTACCGCAGAAAGACACGTCAAGTATGTAAGAACAGTGCAACAACACTTTTCTGCTACGTAGGTTTCTGCAGTTCTGCTTCAGTCCCCCCAGCACGGCGGAGCTTCCTCGGCAACTGCAGGAGCTCCCAGCGCGAAATATCGGACATCGTGCCGAACACATGGTACACGATGAAGACACATCGGAGAGCCAAGCAACGCTCTTCCCTCCCATTCATGAATTTGATAATTGACGTAAGGTCACGTGTGCGTTGAGACTGCTTTTGCAGAGGCTTGATGTGCGGGGCGCTTGAGCAGATGTAAACGGATGTCTTGCGAGCATTGCACATGTTGTAATGTGTACAGGAAGAGGCACCGGAAATTAAATTGTGGACGCGCCGTGCATCTTGATGATGATCACAGTAACACCACGCATCGCCATAAAATCCCAAGGATGCTGCCAAGCACAAGCCTTCAAACAAACAGCTATAGGGACCAGACCGCTTTTTCTTTTTTTTGTTGCAAGGATGAGGAATTTAAATTTTAATGAGCGAGATCCACAGGCTTTGAAAAAAATGGGCAGCGATCCAGGAAAATGCACATTTTAAAACACACATCCCGTCACGCTGTGTCCCGCAAGATTTCGATAAGGGTTGCATTTTCTTTGTCGCGTTATTTTGTTTCGCGTCTAATTTGATGAGGGTTTCATTTAATGAGCAGAAATAGCTGCAAGGCCCATTTTCTAAACTGTGATGTATGCCACTGATACCGTGTATTTAAAGATTTGCATGCCTCACGCGATCGGTGATATCGGTGTGCCTGTGTGACAAAGCATGCACGGGAGAAAAAAACACTGCAAAATTCATCATTATGATTTAATTCCATAATTCCGGATGTTTTAATGTTGTACCATTAGGTGTCCATTTGCGACAGGTTCCTAAATATTTGACCGATTTTCTTTCTCAAGCTGATATTTTAATGAACGGTGTCGTAGTTTTTAACAGTTGTTATTTGTTTTACGACAGAAGGGCATGTACTGAAAGGCTCCAAACGCGTCTCGTTATTTTTGCTCCAAATGTTCTCGTACATGATGTCCTGGATGTAAGTTGGACTTTTGGGTGTACCCCTCTGAAAAGCCCTATCTCATCCTCCTCAAATGTTGAACATGCAACAGTAAGCTCACTAAACACAGCATGGTTCAATGCCTCCATGCACTGGAAGGACATGCCCTGTAGCTGCTGTTGAGAGATAAATGGTTTCTTTAAAAGCCTTAATCACCCCATTATAAAAAAAAACTCATTATATATCTAACTTGAAGCACAGTTGAAGCTTTGATAATTAATGTGGGCGATTGTTTTGAAATAGAAAGGACGATTACGATAAGTTTGGCTTTGCAAGTTGTCAACAATTGCACATACAACTGTGTACATTTTCGCAGTTTTAGCTCTCATATGTGTTTTTCAGATGGCACCATGTGTGTTCAGCACGAGGTTTGACGTTTTCGCTCCACATGCTGGGAGCTTATGAATTCAGGAATAAATTTAGGAAATTAATGCAGTTCCCGAATTAACGAAAACGTCGGACATTGTACCAATCCAAAAACAACGCACGGAATAGCTACAATTGCAGATAATGCAGTTTGTGGTAATGCACATCTCAATAGACAAATCTAGAGGCTACGAAAAAACGTCCGTTATTGCTTCAGGGTTAAGCCAGCCAACTTTGACAAAGCATCAGCGCAGACTCACCGCACAGCAGGTAACTCTTAACGTATTTTGGTCACTTTTGCATAACAGCCACTGATCAGACACGGGCAGGCCTGCACAAGAGCCAGCACACTGAACGAAACCATTACCAATTGCTCATTTAGCGCGACATGACACGGCACAAAGAGTGTGACGGAACAAATTCCGTGGCCTGGACACCACACAGCTGTATTGCTTCCATCCACGATGAGAGATTATTGATGTCGTTGCGGAGTGATCATCCTGTATGGCGCCGTCCCGTCTGGCCCAGCCTGCTCAGAGGCCGAGCCAAGGGTTGCAGAGGACAGCGTCGTTCCAGTCGCTGCCCATCTTCTCTCGAATCCAGTCGGTGTAGTGCGAGATCTGACCCGCAGAGGGAACGCACATTTTGCACAAAAGTAAGTTGGTGTCTGCATCTGTGATCCCACCCTAAGCACGCAAAAAGGTTCGCAACAATAGCTTAAAAAGTGAATCACTTTCCTTTAAACTTTTTACTCTGCTCACCCAAAACCTTTCGGCACTTCCGCTTTTATCAGTAGGCATGCATTGAACTCGATAGAAGGGGTAGATCCATTATTTATTTGCCTGAAGGTTAGGTGCCAAGCTGCCCAACATGCAGATGCATATGTGTGTAGGCGAGCTTGATCCCACCAAAATGCAATCTGAAGGTGTTTTTTCCATGGCAGTTGTTGCAGTTGTAAACAGATATTTACATTACATACATATGGGCCTTGAAAGTTTAGTATTGTTGGATAGTGGAAATACAAACTGTTATGGCCTTGATAATTCTATTAACCGTTTTTTTTTATTAACTGACATCGTATTCAGCTTCTGCCTGCTGGTACAAAACCTTTCAGGAGCTTTTTTGTTATTTGTTTCGGTCGTGGAGTCTTTGTATAAAGGGCAGCCGTGCAGGCGGGTGTGTGTACAATGGTAAATGTATCGACAGGTTCACATCGACCTATGCATTAATTTTTCATTACGACAGCAGACGCTTACACCCAAAAAAACAAACGCGAAGAGAACAAGTCCAATTTTTATACGGGCGTACAGCATGTCAGGTTTTCTGGGAGATTATTTTTTTGTTCGTGACCATCATCAATTATATTTGGGGGGAGGTGGAGGTGGTGGGGGAACGTGTTCCTTGCGAGCTCTCAACATTGTAAGACAGTGATTCTCACATATTTGACCTTGTGCCCCATCCACCCTTGTGTCGGCACAGCCTTTACGTGCAGTATTTTAGCCCAGGCTGGGTGTAATGTGAAAGGTCTGAGCCATCGGTGGCGGATATTTTTGTAAACTTTTCATCTATTTCCATGAATGGAGATGTGTTACACTATAATATATAAAACGCCATTTATTCATCCAGGAAAACCTCACTGAGTCTCGGCTCTCTTTTCCAGGGCACCTGCCGTGGGATATTTCACCATTTCCACGAATTAACATTTGGCTTCATGTGGAAGGAGAGCACACTACACGGAGCACAATAAAGCACATGCGAGAGACCTAACACGTTTAAAGCTCTACACAGATAGATTCAATTGTTTGCTGCACTGGCATCTCATGTGCAACCGAGCAGCCCAAGCCATCTACAGCTGGTATATCTGGGCAGAGTCCAGATCTAAGCACTAAGCCGGCTCATTTTTGCTTAGCTTACACGATGAAATTAAACTGGGCGCATTCAGGGCGATTTGTCCATAGGCCATAGAAATCACTTCTGCACACTTTCCTTTAAGCGAGGAAAGAGGGTTTATCTCTGGGTTGCCTCGGGAATTCCAATTCTATTCTTGCACATGGCAACACTTTCACGAGCTAAAATGCAATTTTGAGTCTTAATTTTGGAGCTTTCGTGACTGCAGGAATTATTATTTGGTTCTTTCGGTAAAGTCACGTATAAAGATAAAATAATAATTTAGATTGCTTGTGTTGCAATCGAAACGTCGTAGTATGCTATTATTTAATTTATTATTTTATCTTTATACGTGACTTTACCGAAAGAACCAAAGGGCAATTTTGAGGTCTGCGGGCCACGAGAGGGCTTTAGGCGAGCGAGAGAGTTCGTGCAGTTTTGCCAGTCCTCCTTTGAAGAAGCGCAGACTACGGTGGCTTGCCATGTGGTCCGAAAAATTAGATCGCATGGCCACAATCGCACCGCTGCAACAACAGCAAACGCCACACACACCGTCTGAGTAGCGGGTCCAGAGAACGATGAGAGCTCGAAGGTGCTAGGGAAGCCGAGGTCGACCGCTCAAACCCCTCTTGTCCACGGTGACAAGTGACGCGAAGCGACCTCGGTGTTTATGGCGCCGTTTTTTTTTTGTTCGTTGGGTCACCTTTGCGCGTGATAACTCGGCGTCGTGAAAATTGCTCGCGTTTCGCCACCGCCGCCGCCGTATATAGCTACGACGACCAATGTGCTGCTCCACGCAAGATGTGACCTTCGCTCGCCGGATTGAATTAGAAGCGGAGATTGCTGTGGCACTTTGACATGGGTGTCCTTGCGATAAAAGAAAGGGCGAAGAAGAAGAAGAAATATGTAAAAAAAAAATAACGAGACGTTTTTATTTTAATGCGTACACACCGCGTGAATATAAATGTCCACGCGCTATGTGTGTACGTTGAAATGTTTTCGCAGCCAACCGTGCGAATTGTGGGTTCGGCGGAAGGACTACACGCAAAAAAGCAGTTCTAACGAAATGAATTTTCAATCTGGATGATGATGATGATGATTTAAAAGTGCCATAGCTCCAGTGGCTTCCTTATATCGGATGGAAGAGTGTTCCAGACGGCCGCACAAGCGCATCCAAAGGCGAGCGCCGCGTTGCCAGCGAGAGAGCGAGAGCGAGAGAGGCTGTGAAAGAGAAAGAGAGAGATCCCTCCAACCATCGCGTCGCACGGCTGGGGGGGAGGGGTGAAACGACCTGCGGCACTGTGAACTCTTAGGCCGCCGCAATCACGGGGCGGTCAATCAGTCCCCAGAGGCGAGGCGGAGTGAGTGGGAGACGCCGACAACGGGCTGCAGACGGCGCGACGTGGAAGTCACTCCCTGCGGCGGCGGCGGCGGTGGTGGTGGTGCCAACGAGCTTCCTTCCATGCCGCGGAGCCGCTGTGTGCGGTGATTGGCATTTCTTTGGCGCTTATGAAAATGAAGTCATTAAGGTGTTAGTTATTTTATTATTATTAATATCATGCAGGGCCCCTTAACGAGTGTGCAATGGGGGGGGGCAGTGGGAATTTGATTATGTTGTATTCTATATTTAATTTATAATTAACCGCCGACTATTATTGAATTGGTTAATTGACTCGTTCGGTTTACGGGTTATTCCAGTCTGCGCGAGCGCGATAAATTTATCCGCTTACACAGAGCGCCCAACCCCCCAGCCCTCCACCCCCTAGCAACGCCACATTGTTGCCCGAATAAAGAACTAAAGGCTCATGAGTACGTAACGCAAGTGTATAAACGCTCGGTTGAAAACCCAACATGTTCATTCAAATCTCAGATTAGTCACGATTCATGAACGGTCGCTAAAAGCAAGGAGCCCTAACGAAGGGGGGGATCGTCATGCGGCCCCCTGTACCTCGCGCTTTGCCACTTTCGCGAGCATCCTTCCCGCACACTGACTCCGCCGTCGCCGCCGCCGCTGCTTGCTGTGTGCCTCATTAGTATCAGAACATTGCTTTGAAGATAAGTTAAGTTTCAGCTGGTACACAGTAATTCTCATTACTCGCATATCCCCCCCACCCCAATCTGTCTTGTTAGCGAATGAACAATACTGATGATTAAAGTAACAACGACAACTAAAAAAATCGGAAGGATTTTTAAACTCGTGCCGAAAGTTTTTGCGATTTTTGGTGCTCTCTGGTCTGACAGGATAGCTTGCGTGTCTCGGTGATGCCGTTATGCTGCCCCTAAATCGGTTCGGCCGTCGATATGCGCCTGCAGGTTGCCCAGTCCTGTCCCTGAAGAGCCAGGCTTTGAGCTCTCTCTCTCTCCAAGTTGCAGTGGCGTTGCAATGCGGTCGAGAGTGGGGCTGTCTTTTACAGGTATAACCCAAAAAAAGCCCCCATCCCTCCCCCCGCCCCCATTTTTGTTCGTAAAAAAACTTTTTTTTTTATTGAACCGATATAACAAAACAAAAAAACACGAGATGTTCACTTATGGGAAATACACGGACGTAATGAAGGTCCGTGATGAACGATTTATGAATTTAAAACTCATTCCATGTTGAGCACTCCTATCTTTCGAGCTGCTTTTTGCGTGCGGTGCGTGGTCCTTCCAGACCCGCACCTCCTATGAGCACGGTTGGCGACGTACGGTGTACGGAAGAGGTTCAACATGCACACGTGTGACACGGAAGAGGTTCAACATGCACACGTGTGACACGGAAGAGGTTCAACATGCACACGTGCGACACCGACGAGGTTCAACATGCACACGTGTGACACGGAAGAGGTTCAACATGCACACGTGTGACACGGAAGAGGTTCAACATGCACACGTGTGACACGGAAGAGGTTCAACATGCACACGTGCGACACCGACGAGGTTCAACATGCACACGTGTGACACGGAAGAGGTTCAACATGCACACGTGTGACAGCGACGAGGCTCAGCATGCACACGTGTGACACGGAAGAGGTTCAACATGCACACGTGTGACAGCGACGAGGCTCAGCATGCACACGTGTGACACGGAAGAGGTTCAACATGCACACGTGTGACACCGACGAGGCTCAGCATGCACACGTGTGACAGCGACGAGGCTCAGCATGCACACATGTGATGCGGAAGAAGTTCAACATGCACACGTGAGACACGGAAGAGGTTCAACATGCACACGTGTGACAGCGACGAGGCTCAGCATGCACACGTGTGACGCGGAAGAGGTTCAACATGCACACGTGTGACACCGACGAGGCTCAGCATGCACACGTGTGACACGGAAGAGGTTCAACATGCACACGTGTGACACGGAAGACGCTCTGCCGTTCTGCGACCTCGTGAGTTTATCAGCATCGAGCAGGAGGTGGATTTTTTTCTTTTTCACACGTACGTTGTCGGGTGGCAGAATCCCTCCCGCAAAAAAACATTACAACGCTCGACCTTGACAATGACTGAGAGGAGCACGGGGGGTGGGAGAACGTCATCAGGGACCGTTGGACAGCCAGGAAATGCCCCCCCCCCCCAGAGTTTTACCGCTTCGGCCCTTTCAAGGATGGCCTACACTGGCAGCATTTTGAAAATGACACCGCACTACAGGATCCCACAATCATATTGTTACTGACGAATTTCTCCCCTGTGATCAAACGGTGGCCCTGGTCCTGTGTTGATGCAAGTGCAGAGAAAAGCAATGGGCCGTGTTTAAAAATAGATAAATGTTTCTTGACATTTCCAACAACGATTTCCTAAACTTTGCCATCGTTTCAGCCGAGTTTTATATTTATATACGAGTCGTTACTTTGTGGATGTCACTCGATTATGGACACACATGAATGTGCTGGCAAGGTTAGAGTGTGCTGGCGTTTTGGTGTGTAATGAATCATTGATGATAATTAATTTCATTATGTAGGAAATAAAAATTAATACTCATGTTTAATGTAGTACGCTGATAAACATTGGGGAGAATAAAAGCGTGTATTTTATTGAAATAAACCATTGGGAATTCATCTCCTTAATTGCCACATGGCTGATCGTTAAGTGTTGCATTTACAAATATTGTACTCAAGCACTCTTTCGGGTTGGAGTTTCTGAATGCGGAATCAGAATCTGTATTTAGGCTGGAAGAATCTGGTGAGGGTATTTTTGCCGACTCTTCTACGCCGGCCACACATTTTAGAAGAGGTGGCAATACCCAGATTATATTTCCCTCATCCCACACGACAGGCCTAATCGATGGTGGTGCTCCAAACCTATACATGCTGGGTGGAGAGATGCGGGGGGGGGGGGGTGACATAGATTCATACTGTAGGAATCTGATGAGCTACAAAGCTCTTTTTCACACATGTTCAGGAGGGGCGGGTCAGAAAGTTACAACAATAAAATAAAACGATAGGAGTGCAAAGTATAGGAAAACTAATCAAACAATTCATGTCAGACAGTGGCATGCGTGTCAACGACATTGAGTTAATAGACAACTGCAAAGGGGCAAAAGCCTAATAAAGAAATGGAAGTGTGGAGAGTGACCCGGGTAATCACTACCAGCACAGCCGTCGCAACTATAATGCACCTTCAGCGTCGAATAATGCGCCCTGGAAGTGTAAACGTCAACGACTTATTAAGAGTGCAAAACATGGAAATGGTCAGGACATTGCCAAAAGCATTGAGCACATCGCCCGCCAGTGCGTAGACACGAGGTGAGTGCCACGCGCGTTTAGCCAGCACTGCACGGTACAAGCGCGACTGGTGCAAGCGCTGCTGGAGCAAGCGCTGCTGGAGCAAGCGCGGCTGGTGCAAGCGCGGCTGGTGCAAGCGCGGCTGGTGCAAGCGCGGCTGGTGCAAGCGCGGCTGGTGCAAGCGCGGCTGGTGCAAGCGCGGCTGGTGCAAGCGCGGCTGGTGCAAGCGCGGCTGGTGCAAGCGCGGCTGGTGCAAGCGCGGCTGGTGCAAGCGCGGCTGGTGCAAGCGCGGCTGGTGCAAGCGCGGCTGGTGCAAGCGCGGCTGGTGCAAGCGCGGCTGGTGCAAGCGCGGCTGTCACGTGTCCTGCTTTCCCGGATTGTTGTCTTTTTGAGGTACCCATCCTGGAAAACCCGTAAGTCTTCCCGGAACATTAAAAGTCCAGTTTTTTTGTCGGTTGTGTCAAATAATAATAACAATAATAATTATTATAATAAAACACACCACTCAATACAATGCGTTTACATGCTGGCGTTTGTACAATATTCTCTCTCTTGCGCAATGTCCCAGTTTTTCTTTTGTACCCGAGCCGAGGTGATGACCCCACACTCAGGCGTCGTGTCGACAGCGGCCTTGGCCTCCCACGGCAGACCTCGGTGGGGGGGGGGGGTGGGGGGGACTCCACACCTAAGCCCGCGTGCGTGGGCGTCACGGCTCGAAGCAAGTGACAATCACAATCAGAGCGGCCCACGCCGGTCGCCACCCCCCCCCACCCCCCCGCCTTAAGCGCAACGTGCCGGTTGATGGGCACGCGGCGCGCGGCCGCGATGAGGCTGCCTCGACCAGCAGCCTCAGGGGTCAGAGTTCGTGGAGTGGCCCGATAATTATGAATGCGCTGCCACGCTCGCGACCCCCCGAGTCACCTGTGGGGTCACCGTGTTGGCGCAGCTCACCTCGGTGTAGACGCCCGGAGCCGTGCCGCACGCCATGCCCCAGCTCACCAGGCCGAAGAGGGCCCACTTGTCGCCACGGGGCGCCACCAGAGGTCCCCCCGAGTCACCCTTTTGTTCAACGTGGGGAGCGGCGGGGGGGGGGGGTACAAATAGGCTTAGAAATAAGAAAATGTCAAGCAGAGGTCACAACTGGGTAACCGATACCCGTACCCTACCCGATACCCGGCTACCCGTACCTGGCCGGGTACGGATAGCCGTTTGCGACCCTGGTGCGGCCGGGTACGGGTACGGGTAGGCCGTGAGTCACTGGTGAGTAACCGTTTGTCACTCATTTCGGGTAGGGTACGGGTACGGGTAGGGAACGGGTACCCGTACCCGGCCGTACGGGTACCCATTTGCGACCCTGGTGCGGCCGGGTACTGGTACGGGTAAGGAATCAAAACCCGTTTGCGACCTCTGATGTCGAGGCGACGATACCTTTGGTGGAAAGTGACAGCCGCGGTAAATGCGAGGAGGCGTTTTGTCAGGCTGGATGCATCCTGGCAGTGGACGGACTCCTTTCCAGAGAGGTCGTGATGGTTCGCGATTTACCTTCATGCGTTAATTCCACGGCTTTCCTATTAAAAACTCATTACCATTTGACACCATTCAGGAGAAGAGGCCATCGATCTGATGACCTGGTCCATTTGCAACAAATGTAATTATTGCACGCAATTTACTGCATTACCAAAAAACCATGTAAAACATACATTCCTTCAGCCCTCGCTGGGGCACAGAGGAATAGTACATTGTCATTGACAATGCACGGCCACGACATCTCTGAGCTTGGATGGTCAGATGCGGATGATCGTTGCCGTCACTTGCAACGTCTGGCCGTCCGCAAGTATTTGCAAACATGTTTATAATAAATGCAGGACCGTTAATTACTAAAAAAAATAACATTCTGGGGATCGGGCGCTGATCATCTCTGTTGGCATCACCTGGTGGTGTCAAACATACATATATAAGGTGCACGTCGCAGATTGAACCCAACGTCTGGACCACATTCTTCACCGCACACCGCCGCTCAGTGTGGAGCTCGAGTGTGGAAAGTCGTTTGAGCGCGTGAAGTGGTTTTCACTCGAATCGTGTTGGTAAAGAGACAGAGAACTGAGAATTAGCGGAACCGCGAATAGGTTTAGTTGATTAAGAGCCAAACGGTGAGCGACAAACACAGGCGCGGACGCCACTATGAAGAATTCACCAAATGCGACACACACACACACAAATATATATATATAGTATGCTAATCAATAACAATGCCATAACTGACAGAGAATTTCTCAGGAGAGGTGGGGGATCTCAAATAATCATTTTGTTAACCTTGAGGCGCCCAACTGTCAAGCAATGCCCCTTTAATAAACGCCGCACTCAACTCTGCCGAGCTACCATTGTGTCCGCCGCGGTGCCGCGCACTGCACGTTTCGTCTTCCGCAGAAAAGGCACCGCTTGCATCTCGACGGGGCTCACTCCTGATTGTAAGTAAAGAGATTGTTTCGACTGAATTGATGCCCAGGCACCTGCGCTCACCATGGCAGCCGTTATAAAGTATAGAAGTGGAGCCAGCTCGGCATGTGACTGGACCGCACCGTGGCGCTTTAAAGAGTTGGGACCCAAACCGTGTCTCAGCCGCGGGTGATGGATTTAGTGTCTCCCGGCGCCCGCCTGAATGTGAAGGGGGTTGGGGTGCAATGCGGTAGGGCGGGGGGGGGTTCACGGTATTCTCGAGTGGAATCGACCAAGTAAAATAAATTGAAAAAGAAATGGAAGGCAATACTTGACATATGGATGAATTTCAGATATATAAAGTACGTGTGTGGGGGTGTGCGCGCACGCGTGCATGCGTGCGTGTGGCGGTGTTGCTTTTTTTTGTCTCTCGTCTATTTAATAATGAAAGCCCCTGGTTAGGTGCAATCAGCCGGGCTCCGCACGGCGGTGACGCATGGCGCAAAATGAGAGAGCTATGTTCTTGAAGCCATTGTGCCTGTCTGGCGGAGAGGGGAGCACATTCAGGGGCATATCCGCTATAGCAAAGCTAAAATGCAGATTATCCATTTACTGATGCGGTTGCGATTGTGTTGGTGACGGTGGAGATGATGATTGCGATTGTGGTTGTGGTTGTTCTGGTGGTGGGGAGTGAGTGAATCGCTGTTAGTGCGCTGCGCTACAGACCCGGCAAACCTAAGTTCACCTCCCCCTTGCGGCCAACACGAGTGACAATTATCTGAATCAGTTGTGGGCCTCCCCTAGGTCGATATCGTCACTGGGGAGACAAAGGTGGTCGGGCGTCGTGTTGGCCAATCACCCCCTCGTGTGTCTTGCCAGCCTTCAAAGGTGCCCGCTAACAGCACATGCCCAGTAGTCGTTTAAAGGCTATACGGGGGATCTTTGTATTTGTCTTGTGGTGATGGTAGTGGCGGTGTAAAGAAACCAATAACATTACGGTCATAGCCTTATAGCATTATGGAGCGGTGGAGCAGTGGTTAGCAAGATGTGCTTTGAACCCGATGACCTGTGTTCAATTGCCAGTCACAGCTGACATCTGGCGCGAGCGATATCTAAACCAACCAGCACTGACCATCACAATGAAGTATGGTCACATGGCCCCATTACTAAAAGGCATGGGGACCTTCATCAACCAGTGGATTGATCAAGGGCAGGACATTACGGAGGAGATAATAGCTCACTAATCCTGCAAAGCCTCATTGAGTTTCCTTTTTCATTTTCAGGAGGATCATGAATTGGGATGTTTAGCCAATTCCACTCAGCAATTCTTTTGTGTGTGGCAGTACAATGGAATACCCAGAGAATACTCATCCATAGGAGGGGATAACAGTTGAAGGTTCTCACATACGGATTCACAACCTATTTGCTGTACTGCCATCGCCGGTCCATCTCAAAACCCAAAGCGGGGTTTTTTTTTTTAAGGTTCACAAATCTTCGCATGATCCGCCGTAAATTTGCCGAGGCAAAAAGGGCAGCGTGCTGAAATGTGATTTTTGGATGTGACAGTTAAATATAGAAACGTACAAATGGCACAGCTTAGAATGTGCGCAAAGCACCGCCAAGAGCTGCGTGCGTTAGCGACGGAGTGCGCGGAGGCGGTCGGGGCTGGAGAAGGTTATAGTGGCAACGACGATGATGATGATGACGACGACGACGATGATGGTAGTGGTGGCAGCGTTTGGCAGAAGTGTGCGGGGATGCGTCGGTCGCGATTCCCGGCCGAGCGATGACGCACGTTGCACGCGTCTGCTCCCCCCTCCACGTAGCCGGCGCAGATGTGTCCCCCGCTGGCGCGGACGTTTGAGCCGAGCAAGCCGAGGCAGCGATCCAGCGAGATGTGCTTCATCCGCGCCTGCTTCAGGGCAGGAGGCACGCCCGTCGCACCTACGGGGGAAAGGGCATCGCTCGTGCGTTAATGACCCACAGGCGTCGTTACCCCTGTTCGGTTTTTTTTCTAACATGTATATTTTTGGACCGCGAGATAATAATAGCAGCACGCGTGAGATCCTTTACACGGATTGTTTTTGTTTTTTGACGGAGTGGCAACCGGGGGAGAGAGCCCGAGGTGACATCTACCGAGGAGACGGAGTGATGAAAGTCAACTTTCCCATAGATATTCATATTCGTGCTGAGAGACATTGGCGAGGGGAACGTTGATTTAGAGAACAAATGCAAGTTGGAGACATCGGCTTTGACCGCGAATAAATACAATGTGTTTCATACTCTTAGGTTTTTTTCGGTAAAGTCACGTAAGTAAAAAAAAAATTAAAATTAATAAAAGTAATAATAAAAATAAACAAAAATAATAAATGTGATAATAGAAATAAAATAATAAGTGTGCTTTATTTTTTTTTATTTTTTTTTTCTATTTTTACTTTGATAAATTTGTATTTAATTTTTTACCTACGTGACTTTACTGAAAAAACCTAAGAGTATGAATCCTTGCAGTCACGAAAGCTTCAAATCTAGAATTACAATGTGTTTTTTTTTTTTAAGATGTGGGCATGAGCGGGAGACGTCACTAAAATGGAAGTTGGTCATTAGAGACGACGAGCATTTCGCAGCTCAGAGGAAGGAAGGTTTCTGGGAGCTCATCCGCCAGGAATGGCTGGTGGAGAAGTACATGGAGGAACCAGGAGGAATGGTACATGATCGGGGATACCTTCATCGTGTAGTGGATTGATCACGGCTGCTGCTGCATCTGATGATGATGACGATGACGAAGATGATGATAGACAACGGACAAAAAATCGTTCTCCAAACAATGTAACCACATCACTTCGTTGGGGTGGAGCGGTTGTTTGGGCGACTGGAGTGCACCACTGTGTACCTCTTGAGCAAGAACAAGAGTCGGTCGCAAGCAGGTTTGGGTGGCTGAGGGAGCAGCCTGTCCCATAGGGGCCGATGATTGATTTAAATATGGCAGAGGGAGGTGAGTTATGAGTGAGGAAAGTGAACCGTACCATGTGGTATGTGAAGAGGTGGGTTTGGGTTCGGTGACAAAGGTGCGTCTAAGCATCTCGTTGGCTCAATCCTTCCGTCGAAGTGAAAACTTCTTTATTCCTGAAAGCCCCATGATAGGAATCTAGATTAGAAATATTCGTGAATATGGACCCCATGCTAGGGTATATCAAGGGTATATCAAGACTTTACCGAAAAAACCTAAGAATATGAATCCTTGCAGTCACGAAAGCTTCAAATCTATATCAAGGATGGTTAAAATATTACTCCCCTTTATTTAACCAACCTATGGTTGAATTACAATGAAACGCATTACCATCATTATCAACCCTTTTTTCCACCCTGGACAAAAGCGTCCCCATATCATGATGGTCACGGGGGTACTTTGGCCATATTTCACCACGCTGGCAGTGCGCGTTGGTGAAAAGGAGCGTTGAGAAACAGGTCAGATATCACTCACCACTGGCATTACAGCGACCGGGATCAGAACTCGGGTCGCCGGATTCAGAGTGCAGTGCGCTGACCACTGTCCCACCGCTCCACACCAGACAAATATTACCATCCATTGGCAAATTGCACCACTGATTAGCACGGTTGGCTACGCACGTTGCGAAAGAAGTTCGCAAGTTATGCGTACACATGTGGTAGAGCGACAATTGTGTAAAGCCTGAGTGATTTCACCTGTCCCAGTGCAGCATCGGGAGGGAAAGATAAATTCGTTCGCAGATTCGGAGGCCTTCTGCCTGCAGCGTGTGCATGACACACACTTACCATAACCTCATAATAATTGCATTTGTGTCCCGCGATGAACCGCACGGCGCATGCAGCGTTGCGTGAACGACGAAAAGGTCACACTTGCAATTCTGTCCGAAATATTTTCGGACATTCTAATTGCGCGTGACGGTTTAAATGCCGCTCCTTGGCTATTGACCGCCTTTGTTTTGCCTGTTTATCAACGACACAAAGAACACAAGGCGCCCAGATGCACATCCTTTCTACCGTTCCGTCACCACACCTCCTATTCTGTCACCTCGGCTCTCCCCCACCCACCCCCCTCTTACTCGTCACCATCACTCTCTCGCTCTCTCTCATTAGCTCCCTTACCCGCAAATCAATAGCCCCTCTATGTGGCGTTTGTGAAGTACTTGAAAGTGGAGCTTATCCCCCCCCCCCCCCCCCACTGCATCAATCGAAAACTGAAAAATGAATGTGCTCTCGATTGAAATGTTTTATTCCACTACCCCCGCCCCCGCTCCTTTTAATTATAACAGGGAACGCGAGGTCAACGTTTAATGGTTCTGTTTGATTAAATGACTGAAAAAGACCCTGTAGACCTCCAACTCGGCAGAGGGCAAACGAAACGTTAATAGGCTTTTTCATTACGTTATGTCATTATATGCCACTTTGTGTCGAGCTCCTCGCATGCCCACCAAAGGTCCAGGTTTAATTTATTTCAATTTCTGAGCTGGGAGTGAGTTAAAAAAAAATCAACGAGTCGGGTCGAGAGATGTTTAATTCCAGGAGGTATTTTTCCGTAACGAAAAAAGAAAGGAAAGCTCCCGCAATTAAACTCCGCCGAGGTGCCGAGTGCTCGGGACACGAGACGTTTGAGGGGTACCATACGATCGTGGGCCGCATTCTTCTAACGGCAGTGGGAAAAAAAAGAATGGTGCAAGAAAATCATCTCTCTTTTGTACTCCCGTCGATGAAATCGCGGTCGTTGTGTTAATGGTTTCGCTAAGTTTCCATTATGCGGGGGATATGTGTATACATAATATATCATTGTTACGTAATATTTCCCCCCCTGGACCATTCATTGAATATTCATGCACATGTATGGCTGAGGTCGGCATGCTCTAAGGGTGTGGTTTTACTGGTAGGAACCTCCTGGTTACACCAGCCCACAGGGGATCATTGTGTCCGTCCGTCCGGCGTGCATCCAAAAATGGGAGGGGTGGGGCTGGGTGGAGAGGAGAGGAGAGGGTGGGGAGGGTGGGGAGGGGCTGGATGGGGAGGGGGAGGGTGGGGAGGGGTTGGGTGGGGAGGGTGGGGCTGGGTGGGGAGGGGCTGGTCACCCCGTGGCGCCCTTATAAAACTCAACGTTTAACCTACTCACGCCGGCTTGTGCCCGCCCTCACAGTCGGGCATATTTGCGGAATACACCACGCCGCCGTTGACCCTGGCCATTGACCGAGCAACCCAACGTTCCTACCAGCTCCCTCCGCAGGAATGTGTTTAAGAGGGGTGGAGCGGAAGAAGAGCGGCTCGCGCGCTGCGCTATATGCCACTTTGCGAGACTTCGATTCCTGGCCACGGCTAACATCAGTGGCAAAGTACTCTCGCAACTGCTGATGCCCTCTACGTCACTGACACATACCAGCTGAGCGTGATGAAGTGTGATGAAAGTAAAAACAGAATCCACATGACTGACGTGGCATGGGGAGACCTCTGCATGTATATCCGGCACGCGATTATATAACTCAATCTTGATTTGAAGCTTTCGTGACTGCAGGAATCCATACTCTTTGGTTCTTTCGGTAAAGTCACGTAGGTAGAAATAAAATAAATCACGTTTCGGGCGTAACGCAAGCGTCCACTACCTGATGATGGACGCTTGCGTTACGCCCGAAACGTGATTTATTTTATGTTATACCTACGTGACTTGACCGAAAGAAGCAAAGAGTATAAAAAAACTCGTTAGAATTTTCACAACTCAATTTACAGCCCTTTGTCAATGCACACTACTGGAAGGATGAAATCCTCCCCTGCAGACTTTGACAGCCATGAGTGTTGTTTGACTCATTCATCGTTGACGTTAGCCGTGGTCCGTTATCGAACTCAAGACTCGATGATGCTGTAGCAATGAGAGGGGAGATACTGTATACAGTGGGGGCTTGGTCGGGCAATGGCCCCTTCTTCACAGCACGTGGATAGAGAGGCCTGAGAAACAGGACAATGTGCCATGAAAGAAGGGCCGTTGCCCGACACGTCACCTATTGTATATGTTTCCTTTTAAAGGCCACGCAGTGTTATTGACGAATGAGTAGCTTTTTTTCTTTCTTTATTGGGCACCACTATCATCACCGAATCATTTGTTTAATATCAGGCTCAGGTCGCCGGGCTCACAGCGCAAAGCGCACAACCTCTGAGCTGCTGCTCCACCTCGGGGTTTCTTCATTAGACGCCACCCATCTCGTTGATTTATTTCACACGGGAGTTTTCGCCGCTTTATGTCCTTCGTGAGTGGTCATGTTGTCTCAATGGTCTCGTAACCACACACACAAAGACCCCCTCATGTATAGCCTCAACAGACTGTTGGGGCAAGTGCTGTTAGCGAGCACCTATGAAGGCCGGGACGATAGATGAGGGAGGAGGGTGGGTGGTCAGCACCACACCCAACCGCCTTTGTCTCTCCAATGGCGATGTTTTTACACACTACACTAGGTACACATTTTGAGGCCGAGTCGACCTAGGGGAGGCCCAGGGCCATTTCACACAATAGTCGCACACAGCAACAGAGCGGTGACTATCGTACCTACAGAGGGCACATGATCATTGCTGATGTTAATACCTTACGGCTTGATGAAAAAGGAGGTTGGGGCGGGTGCAGTTACCATGAGAGATACGGCGCTCACCTGCAATGTGTGTTACAGAAAAGATAAAAAAACCTGGCAGAGTCTACAACGGCTAATCACCTCCCTGGAGCATGTTCACTCCCCCACACACACACCCCACCACCCACCCACCTCCATCACGGGGTTCCTCTCCCGACAGGAGGTACCGTGGCGACTTTCCCAAACACCGCGTTGATGCGCACGCATCTCATTCTGCCAAACTTTGCAGGTATCCGCTTACGAAGCCACCCCACCGCAAGCCCCTGCTCACAGCTCCCGTTGGTAGTGTTTACGGGATAAATGCAAATGGCCTAATTGAGGTGACTGCAGATGGGTGTTAGTGCATCTCGGCGCAATGAGAGGGTTGGCACTGAACACTCTTATGCGGTGGGCTATTTGTGCCCTGCACTCTGCTTTAATGCTGCTCTGTGTGCGTGCGTGTGTGGATTATCAGCGTACTAGGCCCCTCTCGCGCCGTGGCTCATTAATAATCTGCACGGCTCCGTGCGGAAAGGGCTGAAATAGGTGCGTAGTGATTGAAGAAAGCAGCCATGTTGATGTTGAGCAAAACATTTTTAAAAAAGTGAAAACAATCGCGGGGGGGGGGGGGGGTCGTACTGGGGGTGGGGCGGAGGAAAAACATGAATGTAAAATTGGAAATAAAAAAAATGAGTAGAAAAATGGAAAACTCTTCCATGTAAATTGAAATACTGTTCTATAATGGCATGCAATCTATTGCATGAGATTCCATTTATTTGATACTGTTTATGTGCAACAGGGTTCCATTTAGCTGAGTAAATTGAGCTCATTTAACCAAGTTATGCAGGACATAAACCCAATGAAATGAAATGTCAAGTTTCACAGCGGATTGTTTTGTAGCCTAATATACCCAGCGATAGTACCTAGGAAATCCATAATGACAATCCAATTCAGTTAAAACTAAATTTATAAACTAACCCTGGGTTAGCCGGTATATATATGTCTATCAATATTTGCTTTCCCTGTTTATTATTTTCACTTTGTACGGGTCAATAGAAACAATATGAACAAAAATCAACATTTTGTCAACGACTGAATAAATGGCTCCCCGTGTGATGTCACTCATGGGCCTTGTTTTACCATACTTTTACCACACTTCACCGTGCCAGTCAGTGTGGATTGATGAAGGGGAGCCCAGGACCGACTCAGACTTCGCTCATCACTCATATGTATCAACCAAGGCCTGAACTCAAACTCAGGCCCCAGGGTTTATAGAGCACTAGCAGGAAGTACCCGGCGTTGCCCGGGTCTTAAAAATATTTCAAAACTACTCTTAAAAATGTAACAGCAGTGCGTACTGACTGTGGTGGTACCTGCTATGATTACAGCAGTGCATACTGTGGTGGTACCTGCTTTCACTGCAGCAGTGCATACTGTGGTGGTACCTGCTATGATTACAGCAGTGCATACCGACTATGGTGGTACCTGCTATGATAACAGCAGTGCATACTGACTGTGGTGCTACCTGCTATCACTACAGTAGTACATGCTGACTCTATAGCAGTATTTATCGACTCTATAGCACAAAGTACTCTCCTGATAGAGTGGCGTGGTGAGGCCTAGTCCCGTGCGGTGATACCTGCTATGATTACAGTAGTGAATACTGACTGTGGTGGTACCTGCTATGATTACAGCAGTGCATACCGACTGTGGTGGTACCTGCTATGATTACAGCAGTGCATACCGACTGTGGTGGTACCTGCTACATCTAGCGATTGTATAGTAGTAATAACTGCACGCATAGGGGTGGGGGAGACATCACACAGTGAGGATTTTTATAGCATTTTTAACGCGAAAGAAAATGTTCCATCACCCCCCACGAAAGGCGCGTGAGTTGGTATGGTTGTGCACGCATCATAAATGAATAAATATTAGTGAAGCGCACAAAAATCGCACTAAATCGCTAATGAAACTAATTTAAAGTTGACGGATGTGAAAAGGGAACAGCGCTTGCTGACCGGGGGGCTTACAGCGTGGTGCCTGGCTATTTTTTACTCGCTTTTATTTAACTCACTCTGTTGTCGTATTCTCAAAAAAATATTGTAACTCAATTTTTACCCACTGCCCAATGTGGTATAGACTGCAAACTTGGTATATTTATGTCATACTGATGGCAACACTATATTCCATCATATTTTAAAACATTATTTTGTATATGTTATGTTTTGGCTTGGGTCTAATTGTCCACGCTCAACTGACGTTGGCTGTAATTGACCACGGTACCTGACGTTATGGCAAGCTTCGGGGCCACTTCCTGGAGTCGTGGAGTTCTTCCATGACTAGTACGGTACATTTCATTAAAGCGTGTTAAAAAAAAAAGTATTTTAAAATAGTACTTCTTTTTTTAATGTAAACCCCACCGTTGGAGAGGCAAGCGAGCGACCACACACAAACCCACAATTTTTGACTTTTATATAGAGATAAGATAAGATAAGAAGATAGATAGATTTCAAGAACCAATGGACCACTATCAGCACTTGATTTCCATACACCTTTGTTATTTTCCCTTTTCGGGGTTCAATGTGCAGATCAGTATACTCACTGTCCATGCCGTAGCCTGTCAAGATCATGGTGTAGTCGTCTGGGAGACGCTCTCCACGGGATGGGAGGCAAATCAGATTGACCTGCGCACACAAAGACACACACACACGCGCGCGCACGTGCGTACACACCCACGGTAGAGTGGTGTTATAAAGGCGCTGGGAACTTCCGATGGTCTCCCTGGTGCTGTAACGCTGTCACCTGAGCAATGGCCAGTCCTTTAAGGAAATCGTTTAAATGTGCACACAATAACGAGGTTTTTATTTGATTTTTGTTTTTACTGTGTCATTCACCACGAGTGAACGATGAACGCAGCCCTGCGACAAATCACGCGTGCCGTCAGTGTTTACTGTGTGTGTGGGGTATGAGCTGTGGCTCGGACATTGGTGAGCCGAGTTAGATTCCTGGCCACGTCTAACGTCGGCGGAGATTACACGAATTGATTCCGGGCCTCTCCTCGGTCGGAATTAGCCTCAAAATAGTAGTTCGTGAGGTCTGTAAACATCAGCACTGTGGGTGTGGTGCTAGTTGGCCCAATAGTCTATACGAGCTGTATGGAGGATCTCTGTCTTTGTACTATAGGACACACGTGTCTAACAAATTAATGTGGGGAAAGTTTCAGTTGTTATCTCTTTGCCGCAAGTTTCACTGCATGAAATTCATGCAGCTTTATGGGCAGACAGCTCTAGTGACAAAATACCTCTGCACTGAATTTAATTAATCTCCCGATCATGTCACCTGAAATTGGAGTCTCTGCCTTCCAAAAATAGAGCCTGATCCAACAGAATCCTTTAAAGTGATAATGCTCAAATATTAAGCCACAATTTGAACCTTGCTCTAAGATAAAATAATGGACTTATTTGAAAGAACAAAAGCTCATTTTAAAGTTTCTGGTTTAATTATGAGTGGAATTATATATTTTAACTTCTGTCAGTCCTCGTTTAAACATATTCGATAAAATTAGCATAACCAGGTGTGGTGGCGCACGCCTGTAATATAGCGATTTGGAGGACCGAGATGGTGGATTATGCAAATTTGTGAAACTTTCAAACATGCAGAGAAGTGCTGTAGCCAGGAAATTCTCGCGCAGAAAATGGGTTCGTGAACCATCTGTGCCTAATCTTTGGTTATCCCCTCTTCCTCCGCTTTCCTCCCACATGCAAGACGCTCGTGAAAAAGGAATTGGACAAAGGTGACCAGCTCACTCAGAGGCCATAGTGCTCAGCTGCCACTGTTGAGGTCCTGGGTTCGAATTCACATCCAAGGAGCCGCCTGTAATTAAACTGGGTTCTCAAGTCGAGTGAGTAGATGGTCTCATTCCGGTCATCAATGACTTCACACACACACAAATATCATCACGTTTAATCTGGTTCTACATTGCAAATTAGACATTATATTGACGCTCAATAAAGGTAATTAGGCTTGAGCAGGACACATCACTGACAGAGATCATGGCCAGAGGTCGAGGCTAGGGCTGGAGTGGCAACCAAAGGCAGGAGCTTCGTCTGAGTGGATGTCTGCCATGGAGATGAATGAAATCAGATTGTGCGTATGCGCTGGACACATCGTCACATCTCAAAAGCATGAGACATGGCAAGAGCATGGGGAGGCTGGTAATATATTATTATAGCTTACTGTCAATGTTTCCATTTTAAGGCAACCTCAATGATGAATGTGATCATCGATATTTATTCGCGTCTGTGCAACACCGCCAAAATGTTGTTCTACAGAAATAAATAAAAAAGAGTTGCACCCCCCTCCCCCTCTACACACACACGCGTTGCCCCCCACACCCGAGCAAAGCCAGCGCAGCACGCTCGTACAACCACAGCGGAGACCCTCGGAGTGCGAAGCTTCTCTTTAAACACATCCCCCGGCGAATTCACATTCCTCAATCGCCTCCTTTTCCCCAACGCCGCCTATCAAAGGCGCCCATTATTGGGATCCGCGACCGCGCATGCCGAGCGCGATCATCGACGGCCGCCGCCATCTCTCCCGACGACGCCTTGAACACGACGGCTGCGCCGAGCCAAGTGCATTGGCAGCCAATTCTGGCTGCAGCGTTTCAGCATTTTGAATGCGAAGTGCTCGACTGAGTAAAGCTCTGGCTAGGGTAGAGAGGGCTGCCGTTGAGCGAATTCGCTGTTTCGCGTGCGGCGAGTGTCGCGGTGTGCTTAGTGTGTTGGTGCGGGTTGTAAAGGAGGGCAGGTGTGCCCCCCCCCCTACCCCACCGTCCCTGCCCCCCTTCCCCTCGTCTCCCCCTAGCATCAAAACGCCACGTTCCCGAACCCTGCCCCCTACGTGAGTAGGGCAGTGAGCCCAACCACCTTCCATCTCTCCCCTTCCCTGTGGGCACTCCACGTCGCTCGTGCTTTCAACCGGGCTCTTATTTATTAAATAAATACAAATTCAAAAGGGAAGGTGGTTGGCCAGGGCGAAGCGCGTGTGTAAGAATTATCGTTAATAATCGACTGTTGCCATTATTGTAGTTGTTGTCCAGATTTTTAGCGATAATCTGGAAAACCCGAGTTTCATTCCCGGCCATAGCTACCACGGGTGGTGAGTGGTACCTTAGCCACCGCTCCCACCACACGCCACTTAACTAATATGCTCTGATCAGTGTGGTGAACAATGGCTAAAATCATGATCTATCCATTCGGGCTACACAATTGAAGAGTACATGGCAGATAACTTGCAAAGTTGAGTGTTCAAATTCTGGTCGGAGGTGAACTCAGCCCTTAATGCCGAGAGGAGTTCGAAAGATGCGAATCGCTTTGTGTCAATAGTTATTGCCCTGTCTCAGGACCATTACCTGCACCACAGAAATACGGACTATCCACTGCACTGGCTCAGGGCTGTATATGCTGTAAATATATATACACAAACGTGTCTACCACAGGCGTCGAAATATGTCCCTATGCTTAAGTTGAATGGGAAAACAATATTTCACTTCGTGTTGTTTCATCGACGTTGATGTTTCGGGATATAGCGCGAGATACCGCACGAGATATTGGCAGCGGCATAGGGGCCGTCCATAAATGACGTCACGCGATTTTGGACGATTTTTGACCCCCCCCGCCCCTTCGTCACACGACGTCACAAAAAGTCTGACCCCCCCCCCTCAAATATGACGTCACAAAGCCCTGCCCTGCCCCCCCCCCCAAAAAAAAACATGCTTCAAATCGCTTTAAATGATTGTCATTGTAGTGCGTATTTAATGCGGCACTACACTCTGATGTTGTAGGAGAAAACATTTATAAAAAATCCTATTTAATTAAGTATAACGTGTTGTCTATATTTATTTAAAGTTGCTCATTTTGATGTGACGTCACATTTCTCAACCCCCCCCCCCCCTCGTCACACATCGTCACAAATGTCTGACCCCCCCCCCCTTAAGGTGCGTGACGTCATTTATGGACAGCCCCATAGTCATCTGTGTTGGATTAGCATCTTGGTAAGCAAACGGATTTATTTTTATGGCGAGTGAGCAGGTGGCAACGTATAGTGTGAAGCTCAAGACTGCAGCGTGGAATAATATAAGATGTTAAACGGCATTTAAACGAACACCCAAGTACTTAGCAAGTTCAAGCCTCCTAATCTCTTGTAGAGCCGATGAAAGTTGATCGCAGGAGCTATCGGTCGCAGGAAATGTGCTAAATCGTGGCTTTCAGCTGTTGCAGAGACGTCGGTGAATTTCTCGTTTAGCAACCTGCTGATTAGATACTCATATTGGCATGTAAAAATAAATCATGATTTTGTTTTTTAGGCAACGATGACCAGGCTAAGACCATCTAAATTATGCCATACGAGAACTTTATTTTAATTAAGTGCAGAAGTTGTGGATTTCAGCACCTCTGACTTGTGCCAGCGACTCGCTGCATGAATTCCATGCACGTTGTACATAATAATTGTATGATGATGATGATTATTATTATTATTAAACACAGGACCTTAGCAAAGCTGCATCGGTGCTCTGACACGCGCACACATCCGGCCCATCACGAGCCAACCTTTGCTACGTCGGTCAAAAAAAATAAGAGCGTAGCACATTTCTTTCAGTCGCAGTTCCTCTCGGCAGGAAGTCCGGTGTCACAACACGACCGATCATTCGGGGGGGCGGGGGGGGAGGCTTCCGTAGTTCACGCGATGAGAACCATGACCCACTTTCTCGGTGCAGGCAACGATGCTCTTTTCTTCTCTCTATGTTTCTTTTTCGCGAGCGACACCGCTCGCTTATTTCCGAGAAGAGCCGTGAGTACAACCGCCGCGGCCTCTTGGGAAGCGGACAATAGGTGCTTGTGTCGAGCCGGCGAGGATTGACAGTGGCTCCGAATAGAGCGTGCCAAGAAGCCCAATAACAGCACTTAAATTCCGAGCTGTCAAAAAAAAAACGGTAAAAAAAATATATATATTGACCTCTGCGCACACAGAAGTGTGGCGAAATTTTTACGCTCGCACTTAAGTGTGGCCGTGGTGGCGCATATCAAAGTCGAAGCTAAGGCTCAGTGTGGATTTTGGCCCATCGCATTGAGTGGGGCTTTGTGTGCATAACATCTTGTTTAATTCGCGATTGTTTGCGTTTTCCTATCACAGCAGTGAGATCATATTTGTTTGTATGTCTACGGAGCATTAATTGATATTTGTTCTGTACACTCACACAGCATTAATGAGCATGTGTGTGTCCAAGTAGCATAAATTAATTAAGAACTTACTGCATGTCGTGCGTTTGCACAGCGTTAATTAATGCATCGTGGTTGGTTGAAGATCCATACGGCATTAATGAATGGATAGAATGCATTTCTGCTTGTTTACACACCAGTAATTAATTAATAGATGTCCGTGTGCCCATGGGATATTCGTCAATTGATATGTTTGTGCGGCACTATTGTTAACAGCAATGATGTTCGCCGTGATGTTGAAGGAATATCGTGTGCGCGCACAAACTACGCTCTAGGTTGTGCTCCGTAGCTCTCCGATGGGTACCAATGGGTTGTGCCGCTTGTCATTCGGCATGATGTCCGACACGTCACTCCACCTGCTGGGAGATCCTGAAAGAGCTTCCAGCACATGCAGCGAAACGTCG